GCAGCCATTGACTTGGTTTACATCGTGCACTTGATACACGTACTAAATAGTAACTTTCTATTATAATCTTAATATCGACAATGTATATAAAAAACGGTATATTAAGCTGGTACAATATTCATCAAGAAGACGTATTGTATCGATTGAATGCGTCGTCGTTGATATAAATTGTATTAAAGAGTGTTCGATTGGCCCTGGGTTAATCGCTCCGAGAGCGATTAATGTGTCATAAGTCTTTACTAACCAATCATAAAACTTATAAGTACTTGTTCGACCAATAAACATAGGCTGAATAACCTAAAATGGGTTAACCCAAAGCCAGTCGAACATGCTATAAGATAATATTAAGATCGTATGAATCAATGAACATCGAGTATTAAGCCGCCATATTGATGCTTGATGCTCAATACTCGATGCTCATTGGTCCATATGTCTTATGTTATGCATATTATGCAGTTATGCCATTTCATGTGCGATGAGCTTCAGCCTCTCCTCGAAAGCAAATCGTAGTACCAACTGTCATTACGATAATCTATAATGCTTGAAATTTAAATGCAAAATCAGTAAGAATGCACAGTACGCTGATAGATGTTGTTAAATTGCGTCGTTGTCTGTGACACATAAATAATGGCATTACTTTTTATTGAATTTATATACAGTAGATTGTAAAACGATTTGAATACGATAAGTTGAGAGCAACCAAGCTGTCAAACTTCAAAGTCATTACTGTGTTTGATGGGTTTTCCCAATAATTACACAGGTATTCATTGTAACAATATATAGGTTTGTTGTTTTTGAAGAACTTCTGTGCTAATGCAACAGGTTAGAGTGAAACACAAGTATATTTTTTTTTACTTCTACTTATTGTTCAGAAGTTCTCTAAAAACGACCTCTTAATTATTAATTATTATTATTATATATTAATTACTAATTATTAGTATTATATATAAAATAAAAAATCAAAAGTTTCATTGACAAATTCAGTAAAATTTGTTGTGAGTTTACGCGAAGAAAATAGATATAATTGATTTACAAACGAGTGCTATGACTTTAAAATATAATTCTCGCATTGCAAATGACTCATATCTATATCGAGTGCGAAGCCATTTAATCGCTATTGATTTGTTTTGCGTTGCACCCTAGTATGTACGTTAGAAAAGTTCCCGGCTATCAAATTCCAATCTTCGCGCGTAATTACAGATAAAATCTGTAGATTAGAAGAGTGAAAATAGAAATTAACGTCATTGTCTTGTAGACCTGGCGATAGATGGACGACGTGTCTTGAGAGCTCTCTTTTCCTATCGAATGACATTTGAATCGTTCAAATCCTGACGAGAGAATACAGAAATGGAGGTTGCAGCTCTTTCTGTGCTGAAACGAGCGATGGAGATGGATTCAAAAGAACAATATACAGTGGCATTGGTATTGTACAAGGAAGGTGTGAAGATACTTCTCAACATCGCAAAAGGTACTGTCGCCACGATGCTTGTCGTTTCTCTGTTTCATTTTCGTTAACCCGGGAATGCGTGCATCGGTTATTTCCCCGTATTTTTTCGTTTTCTATACACGCCCGCGATACACGCCCACTCCCAGGTTAAATATCTGCAAATATAAGGGAACACAAGGTTCTTCTCGATTGAGCCCTGCTTTTCGTATTTGACATACAGCAAATTTTCTAATCTTATCAAATTTAAATGTCAAAGATAATATAGAGAATTCAATCATATGTTACTAATTCTGAGTTTATTTTTAGATGCAAAAAGAATTCTATTTACTGAACTAAACTCTGAAAAATTCTTTTTGAATCTGAAAATATATATATAAATTCAGAATTGGTGACATTGACTGAATTCTTTATAAATTTTTTTTGAATTCTCTGGAAAGACTTGGGCTATGTTACATACATTATCCACTTCAAATATTAACAAACCATAATTCATGTTATATATATTGTAGATTTTCAATACAGATAGAGTGAGTGACAGAACATAGTTTTAGTTTTACTCTTATATTTATAGTAGAGTGATTTGAACTTCAATTTTTGTAATAATTTCTGTTATTGAAATGTTATTTGAAATTATAAATATTAAAATATGTAATATACTTACATATGATTTACAAATCATATTTGATATCAAGGAGAGGCTCTTTTCTTTTGTATTTATTGAGTGTTTTTCATTTAATGATACAAACAAATACATGTATCTAATTTTATATCTATTGATTTATTAAATATGGAACAAAGATAAAATGTTGTGTTAACAACATATTCTTGTCAAATAACAGAAACTTCTAATAGGTATCTTAAAGAAATTTTATTAAAGATGGTTGAAAAATATCCCAATTTTTCAGATGTCTTTTAAATATCTTTTAGATATTGTGATATTTGAACACTTTTAAAATATTTTTTTAAGAGAAAGTAAGATTTTAGAAGTTGTGCTGCTACCTAAGGTGTTACTAAATGGAAAGCACTCACTCTTTTCTTTCTATGTCATGGATTAGAGCACCTCTCGCTAAAAATGCTGGAGTTGTTAGTTTTATTGTATTGCTACTTTCGTGGCTCAATTCAAGAATATTAATGAATATTAATGAAACGATAGACACAAGAGAAGTATCCAAGAAGGAATACTTTACTGCTATGGCAAAGGAATTTCTGGACAGAGCTGAAAAGGTGAGAAAGTTTATTCATATGAAGAAACTAACTGGTTCCTACAGAGAGTCGACAAAAATTGAGAGTGGATCAATAGGACACAGCTATGCAAGTGTTTTTGGCAGATTTTTAGATAATACTGTCACTTTCATTGATATTGAAGACCCATTCATAAGAACCTTCCATCAAGTACGTATTATAATATTATAAAATATATAGATTATTATAATGTGTGTTTACAATGTCGTATTTGTTTGCAGTGTCAAAACTTGGTTAGATTATGCGAACTGGCTGTCCAAAAGTGTTGTACACTATCTAGGATATCTCTTCTGACGACTTATGATTCAGAGAATACTAATCAAATCATAAGATTGGCAGAGTTAAAGGAGAGTTTGATGTCTCGTAAAATTTCCTTCGATTTTTCCTTTTCCGAAACGTTACATGATAGAAAAATTTTGTAAATACAAATGCATATGCGACTGTTACAAAGAAGATTCATATCTGGACTCTGAAGTTAACGCCCTATATTTGTGTTTCAGATTGAGCAATGGATGGGTGATTAAAATCGGACGTGGATTAGATTACTTTAGAAATTCGGATGGCCAATTTATCCTCGGTGCGTGTGATCTGGAATTGAGACCCTGCTTGGAGACGACAGTAGACATTTTCCCACAAAACATATCTTCAGATACCAGCAGTAAGAAATAATTAGTGACAGTATAAATAAAGAATAAAATGGTCATTTTTTTATAAGATTTTACAAATATATTATAGAATTATGGCACATTTTTTACGGCTGAAAAATAAAACCGTATTTTTACATAGTATAAGTTTGTATCTTTAAAGATACAAAACACGAAACTAAGTACTATACTATAAATCTCTTTTTAATGATGAATCAACTTGTTTCTTGTATTATTTTTATATTATGAAACGTATTGTAATTATAGTTTACTATTATTCAATACATATTTACAGCGCCCCGTTTTTACTATACGTGACTTTTCATTGCCGATTGGAACCAGCGCGATGGATCCTTTCCCTATGAAGTATCTCCTCAATCCAACGTACTGCGATTCTTGGCCTTTGCGATTCCGATTTGCTTCACTGCTTTCCTACATGCTCGCCTCAACGATCTGGTATATCTTAATAAGCCCGTTTCTACCTGCGGCTCGTCTTTTTCCGTTTCGGCCCGCTTGTCGAAGCCACAAACCGGAAGAAAATCGCCGCCGCCGACTGCGAACACTTGCCGCGCGATTTCTGGGTCCACACAGAGCACGGCTAGAGACCCTTGAGTAGAGACTGGACATAACGGGGTTCCGCGTAATTGGTGCACGTGACTTTTGCTCACAAAATGGCAGCGCCAACATAAGTAAAGTGAGAAAAAATATATTCGTCTCACTCTACTTATTGCACTAATGCAGCAGTGCAGCGAAAAAGAATAGATCATGTATTTCTTACGAGCTCACGTATTGGCGGCCGCCACTTTGTCTAGTCTCTCTTGAAGGGTCTCTAAACGCGGCGGCCGCGGTGACTTCCAGTCGTCGATACCCAGTAAACATGCATGACTAAAAGATGTCGAAAGATATCTAAAAGATATCTTATGCAACATTTTGTTGCATAAGACGTCTTTTAGATATCTTTCGACATCTTTTAGACATGTATGCTTCCTCCAAACCAGGCGGTCTCATTCTGAGGAAGGATACCAACGCCACGGAAGCGCGCACTTTCGCCAAGTGCGCTCAGCCTGCCGGAGTGCGCGCCAATTCGCCAATCAACGGCCACCTGGGATCTTATTACGGTTCTGTGTGAGAAGTGAAAATGCGAAAAATAAACGAATTTACTAAATGCTGACCAATGAAATTATAAATTATTCTAGTAAATTCGTTTACTTTTCGTATTTTCGCTTCTCACACAGAACCGTAATAATCTCCCTGCTCCATCAGCCAGACATTGCTACCAATATTTATAGTAAACGAAAAATAAATATTTGTAGTAATATTTTGTAAATATATCTATTTACAAATATTATAATATTAATATTATATATATGAAAAAAATAAATGTAATTATTTAAAATTATTAAATTAATAAAAAGATAAGAAATTTGAATCTCAGCAATGGTAAGCAAATTTTCAAAGTACAATTTAAATTCAATTGAGTAGCGTGTGAAACGATAAAATGAAAATTTTAAGAAAAATTCAGGAAAAGAGAAAAATGTATACAATTGTATATATTTTAATAAATATTTTTATAATATTTGAGATATATAAATATTTTTCATCTATTGAATTTGAGGTCACAAAAATATTTTGTAAATATATTTGTAAATATATTTATGAAACATTTTGGTAAATATTCATAAAATATTTAAATAAATCTTATAAATATTTTGTAAATATATTTGTAAATATATTTATGAAACATTTTGGTAAATATTCATAAAATATTTAAATAAATCTTATAAATATTTTGTAAATATATTTGTAAATATATTTATGAAACATTTTGGTAAATATTCATAAAATATTTAAATAAATCTTATAAATATTTTGTAAATATATTTGTAAATATATTTATGAAACATTTTGGTAAATATTCATAAAATATTTAAATAAATCTTATAAATATTTTGTAAATATTTTATAAATATTTTGTCTGGGTTAATGGATAAAAAGGATAAAGAATAGTAGTAATTGATGTAATATGTTCAATAAATGTACAAAAATGTATATTAAATATAGTCGAAATATTACAATCTTAACAAAGAAAGATATAACTGCTATATAACATAAAAGTAACGGGAGCGTCCCGACTACGGTACGATTGGACACAACCAACCGATGAAAAGAATTATCTAGTGAATTACTAGGCCGAACCAATCATTACAATCTGTGTCCAATCGTATCGTAGTCAATCGGGTCCCATCCGAAGTAACAAGGTACGTGTTACGTCTATGTTATATAACAGTAATATTTTGTGTTTGCTGGGATAATTGTAGTAAAAAATATAGAAAAATTAATTTATCAATGAGTTGTAGATGGATACTGCAAATGTGGAAACTATTGGAGGTTTGTTTTTAATAACAGCATCTGAAATTAACTCTGAGGACTCTTTATCCTCTAATAACTGACCATATTCCATGTACTAAATCAATTTCAATTAATGACATTTTTTATATTATTTGATATTATTATTAGACTGCCTCTCTCTCTCACAATTTTTATAAAAACAATACTGATAGATTACTGATTGGGACCCGACGTCGGACATACGACGATCCAATAGCCAATAGGAAAATTTACTTTCTAGGGACAGTACATCACTAGCTAGTAACCTTAAAAAGTGCAATTTTGATGCATCCATGAGGTGCATTCAGCTACACTGTGTAAATAAAAGAACGCAACCACTGTGTGCACACTACTAGACGATAGCCGTTGGAGTGAGCGAAATATAAAAGTGAGATAAAAAGAAAGGGAGAATACTCGAGTAACGTTTCCGAACGCAGCAATAATTGGATGTCTTAGTTTGTCAATGTGCGCATCTGGGACTTATTCGGTATTCCCTGTAACAATATATAGGTCTGTTGTATTTGAATAACTTCTGTGCTAGTGCAACAGGTTAGAGTGAAACACAAGTATATTTTCTTTCATTTCAACTTATTGTTCAGAAATTCTCTAAAAACGACCTCTTAATTATTATTAATTATTATTATTAGTATTATATATAAAAAACCAAAAGTTTCATTGACGAATTCAATAAAATATGTCATGAGTTTACGCGAAGAAAATAGATATAATTGATTTACAAATAAGTGCTACGACTTTAAAACATAATTCTTGCATTGCAGACGACTCATATCTATGGCTGCGTTCCGAAATTCACTGCCAGTACTAAAAATCTATAGTTCATATCACGTATACTATAGATTTTCAGTATTGGCAGTGAATTTCGGAATGCAACCTGTGTCGAGTGCGAAACCATTTAATCGCTATAGATTATAGGCTTTGTTTTGCGCTGCACCCCTCGTGGTGCGTATGTACGTTAAAAAATTCTAGGCTATCAAATTCCCACCTTCGCTCACTTGTGCTCACAGATAAAATCTGTAGATTAGAAGAATGAAAATAGAGAGATTATCCTGAGCGTCATTGTGCTGCGGATCGATCGATGGACGACGTAGCTTGAGAGCTTTCTTTTCCTGTGGAATGACGTTTGAATTGTTCAAATTCTAACGAAAGAATACAGAAATGGAGGTAGCAGCTGTTTCTGTGTTGAAACGAGCGGTGGATTTGGACGCAAAGGAACAATATACAATGGCATTGGTATTGTATGAGGAAGGTGTGCAGATACTTCTCAACATCGTAAAAGGTACTGTCGCCATGTAAGATGCTCGCAACATGTCGTTTCTCTGTTTCTTAAATATTTACAAATATAAGGGAGCGCATTCTTCTCGATTGAGCCCTGTTTTTTGTATTTGACATACAGCAAATTTTCTAACCTTATCAAATTTGAATGTCAATCCAGATAGTATAAAGAATTCAAAAAGAATTCAGTTATATGTTACTAATTTTGAGTTTATTTTCAGATGCAAATAGAATTCTTCTTATTGCACTGAACTCCGAAGAATTCTTTTTGAATCTGAAAATGAACTTAGAATTGGTGCCATATGACTGAATTCTTTGTAAATTCTTTTTTAATTCTCTGTGCTATCTAGGAAGACTTGTAACTGTGTTACATATATTACCCACTTTCAATATTAAAGATTTATAATTCATGATATATATATTTTAGATTTTCAATACTGATAGAGTGACAGAACACAGTCTTAGTTTTATTCTTATGATTACAGTAGAGTGATGTGAACTTTGATTTTTGTAACAATTTCTGTTATTTGAAATTATAAACATTAAAATATGTAATACATATAATTTACAAATCATATTTGATATCAAGGAGAGGCTCTTTTTTTGTATTTATTGAGTGCTTTTCATTTAATGATACAAACAAATACAAGTATCTAATTTCATATCTATTGATTTATTAAATATGGAACAAAGATAAAATAATGGTTGTGTTAACTTGTCAAATAACAGAAACTTCTAATAAGTATCTTAAAGAAATTTTATTAAAGGTGATTGAAAAATATCCCAATTTTTCAGATGTATTTTAAATATCTTTTAGATATTGTAATATTTAAACACTTTTAAAAGATTTCTTTAAAAGAAAGTGAGATTTTAGAAATTGTGTTGCTATCTAGGTTTTTACTAAATGAAAAGCACTCACTCTTTTCCTTTCTTTCTGTGTCATGGGTTAGAGAACCTCTCGCTAGAAAAATGCTGGAGCTATTAGAGTTTTATTGTATTGCTACTTTCGTGGCTCAGTTCAAGAATCGTTAATGAAACGATATAGAGACAAAAGAAGCATCCAAGAAGGAACACTTCACTGCTAAGGCAAAGGAGTATCTGGACAGAGCCGAAAAAGTGAAAAAGTTTATTCATACAAGGAAGCTAGTTGGTTCCTACAGAGAGTCGACAAAAATTGAGAGCGGATCAATAGGACACAGCTATGCAAGTGTTTTTGGCAGATTTTTAGATAATAGTGTCACTTTCATTAATATCGAAGACCCATACATAAGAGCCTTCCATCAAGTACGTATTATAATATTATCTATAAAATATATAGATTATTATAATGTGTGTTTACAATGTCGTGTTTGTTTTCAGTGTCAAAACTTGGTTAGATTGTGCGAACTGGCTGTCCAAAAGTGTTGCACACTATCTAGGATATCTCTTCTGACAACTTATGATTCAGAGGATACTAATCAAATCACAAGATTGGCGGAGTTAAAGGAGAGTTTGGCGTGTCGTAAAATTTCCTTCGATTTTTCCTTTTCCGAGACGTTGCACGACAGAAAAATTTCGTAAATACAAATGCATATGCGGCTGTTACAAAGAAGATTCATATCTGGACTTTGAAGTTAACACTCTATATTTGTGTGTTTCAGATTGAGCAATGGATGGGTGATTAAAATCGGACGTGGATTAGATTACTTTAGAAATCCGGGTGGCAAATTTGTCCTCGGTGCGTGTGACCTGGAATTGAGGCCCTGCTTGGAGACCACAGTAGACATTTTCCACAAAACAAATCTTCAGAATGAAGACAGTAGCAAGAAATAATTAATGACAGCATAAAGAATAAAATGGTTAATATTTTTTATAAGGTTTTACAAATGTATTATAGTATGGCACATTTTTTACGGCTGAAAGATACCGTATTTTTACATAGTATAAATTTGTATCTTTAAAGATACAAAACACGAAACTAAGTACTATACTGTACATCTCTTTTTAATCATGAATCAATTTGTTTTTCGTATTATTTCTATATTATAAAACGTATTGTAATTATAGTTTATTGTAATTACTGTTGTATAATATATATTTACAGCGCCCCGTTATTACTATGCGCGACCTTTCATTGTCGACTGGAACCAGCGCGATGAATCCTTTCTCTATGAATTCTATCTCCTCAATCCAACGTGCTGCGATCCTTGGCCTTTGCGATTCCGATTTGCTTCGCCGCTTTCCTACATGCTCGCCTCAATGATCTGGTATATCTTAACAAGCCCGTTTCTACCTGAGGCTCGTCTTCTTCCGTTTCGGCCCGCTTGTCGAAGTCACAAACCGGGAGAAAATCGCCGCCACCGACTGCGACCACTTGTCGCGCGATTTCCGGATCCACGCAGAGCCTGGTGAGCGCGGCGGCCGCGGTGACTTCCAGTCGCCGGTATGCGTCCTCCAAACCGGGCGGTCTCATTCTGAGGAAGGATACCAACGCCACGGAGGCGCGCACTTTCGCCAAGTGCGCTCGGCCCGCCGGAGTGCGCGCCAATTCACCAATCAATGCGGCCACCTGCTCCATCAGCCAGACATTGCCGCCGGCGGCGGATTTCTTTACACTCCTGAGAAGCTTCCTCACGCTGTCCTCTCCCAATATAACGTCGGTGCACAGTTGTGACTTGGACAAGTTATTGAGTGCAGCAGCCGTCAACAGCAGCGTTTGAGCGCAACCAGTGTTCTCGAGCAGATGGTTTAGCGCCGGTATCAGGGAAGCTGCGAAAGGCTCGAGGTAAGGCAAACCTATTGCGTTGGTCCACGGTGCTGTGATCTGAACTACCAAGGCGGTAGCTTCGGTCTTCTCCTTCTCGCGAGTGGACTCTGCTTCTAATAAGTCCGTGAGAATCTCAGGACCACCGTCTCGGACGAAGTACTCGATGGCAGTCGTCGATGAGCATATGCTGGCCAGAGCACGCAACGAGACCGCGATCAAGTCGCCCGATGATAACGGATCTCGAGGACCGACACTGATGAGACACGTCAGAAGCGCTTTTATCCCGGAGCACCGGGCTATGCTACTTCCCGCACGGGAATCCGACAATCCCAAGGCGGTTAAAGCCGCCAAAGCGCCTCTGGTTATGCCGCTGTCCTCGCGCGGCGCTTCCTCGAGACCGCGAACTATTTTCTGAAAGAAAGTTTTCGTAAGATTAGTTTGCAAATCGCCGATTTCGATCGTTATGAGGTCGCAACGACGTTGACCTAGGTGTGAACCAACCTCTATGTAGAAGTCTAAGCGCGTGTCGATCGTGCCATCGACGTATGTCTTCATATTTTGCAGCTGCGCGAGAACGCTCCTCAGACTGCCTTGTTGAATCCGCCGCGGAGGAGGCGCTCCCAATTGCGAGAGAATCGCGAACGCGGCTTCCTCGATGCTACGGAGAAGTGCCATCTCGGATCGGCCGCCTTCCAGGCGGGTTATTTTTCTATGTGAGCGATTAACTGATTATTTATAAAAAAAACGTATTTGTTGTTTAATTATTTAAATATTTAAATTTACCCTAGCACAAACTTGTACAAGATGTCTTAAAGACGTCTAAAAGATATTATATTTTATTTAAATGTCTTTTATACATCTTTTAGATATCTTTAAGATGTTTTTTTAGAAATTCACACTAGTCTGTGGAATAATAATAAAGTAAATAATAATAAAGTAAAGTAAGTCAAATGAAAATATTTATATAACTAAATACCGCGTGTGCAACTTACGATTGTAATTAAAACATATTGCAAATGACAGATTTTAAGGGATTTTCCAAGCAATTGGACCTTTTGCACTTCACAAGTGTCTTTCGTGTTTTGAATTTAAATTTGAACGCGGTACCATTAATTTTAAAACAATTTAAAACCCAAAAATATCACGGCATTTTTCAAGTTTTATATAAAAAATTTCGTGTGTTAATAGTACCCTTTTATTGTTCACTAAATTTTATAGTTTTAATTCCTACGTCAGATTGTTACAATCTGACAAAACTTTTATTCGATTTAATTTGATTGCAAATTGTGCAACAAAATTTCTATAATCTTGAGCCTTAATTTATTTTACCCGATTTTTTATCGGTGTACAAGTTCATGTAACTGTTGTTTGGAAACTAAGTTGAATGTCTCAAAGACTGAATATGTCCTAATAATTGAATGTTGTGCAACATTAATAGTATATATGTATTTAATATTTTTCAAAAGAGAGAGAAATATAGAGAGAGTCTTTGAAAGTTTGATCCTGAAATTATACAAACTGAAATTTCTTCCGTTTCTCGAGTTGGAAAACCCCAAAGACTGAAGAATACACACTTACTCGATAATGTTGCGATAGTGTTGCTCAAATTGCTCCGCATTAGCCAACAGTTTGCTCGCGGCTGCAGTAGCCGCGGAAGACATCATCTTGAGATCGCGTGCGTGTGCCTCTCCGGATACCACCAGTGCTCTCCTGCGCGGCAAATTCTTGCTTTGAAGAGCATTGCTGCACTCATTCTCGGTCTCCGTGGCGAGATCGGTCAGCCAGGCCCTCATGGACGACGATTGGCGATAATTTCTGGATTTTAACACGTCCCTGCCGGCGGTTATCGCATCATCCGTGGAATCAGTGGAAACCGGCGATTTCGCTGGCTGAACGCTGTCTTCCGGTGGTTCGGACGTGTACAGAAAATCGCCCAGACACTCGCCCTCCAGCGATCCAACGGAGAATGTCTTCGGTGCATTGCTCTGTGTCTCGTCAATGCTCCTGGAATGATGCGATTCGCTCTTGATGAGTACACTGTAAGAGTTGTAACACATACCACACATATATATTCTCTATACGGACAGAATTTAATAGTTTTTTTTATAGTTTTTTAAATTTTGATAGGTTTTTAATAGTTTTTAAGTAGATAATAAAACCTACTTTGCTAAGGAACATAAATTTCGTTAAAACATAGCAAGTATTTTAATAACACATTTCAATTTTTAAAATATATAAGTAGCATATATAAAATAAAAGTTATATGCAGTATAATTAATTACCGCAAAATATCGATTTATTTATCGATTACAAAATTTTATAGTAATTTTTATTATAAAATTCTCCGTATAAAGTACAATCAGTGTATTCTTCACTCAAATGTGTTATAATTGGTGGTTCAGTTATAAGTAAAGCATTGCAATTACAATTAAATCTCGTTGATTTCATCGTCATAAACACAGAAAATTGAACTTAATACAATGTATAACAAATTTGTATATTATAAACGCAATGAAATCGTTTTGCAATAAAATCTTATTTACGCTTATCAAAATCAGTGAGAAATAAGACGGAGTAGTAAAGTAGAATTTTCAGTGAGTTAGAAGTGTTTTCATTGAAAATCAGTGACTACTCACTGATCAACAGTAAAATAGTACTTTTACTAATTCAGTTAGAAACATTTTTACTAATTCGTTTTGAGAGAATATGTTCATGTTACACGAGTATGTACATGTTAGACGTGATTTCTCTAACGAGTTATCGCGGGACAATACAAGTCTAAAAGTCACGATTATAGACCAAGTGTCTGATAAACATTCTATTTTTTTAGATATTCTTCGAGAACGCTCCTAAAGCATATTCTGTGTTTCCTGTTCCTCGGATAGTTGATCGCCCTTGGCAGTTACACTACCTCCAGCGAGTCATAGCGACTCGACGTAGATTCCAGCTACCGTCATGGCACAATTATTATCTTACTACTGAGAGATCTCTACAGTCATGTGATTACTCGTGATCACAGTCGACCGATTTCCGTGGGTGGGAAGGACAAGGAAGCGCCCGGGGCAATAATGAGAAAATGTAAGATCGGCTGACTAATCAAGCGGCTTCCTGAGATCTCTCTTTCTCGCGCACGCGATGACTAATCACGTTCTTGTAGCACTACAATGCGTCCACCTGCGCGCCGCGTCGCCGGTGCACGTCGAGCTACGAATTCCTCGTAGATTCGCTGTCGCGCGACCGAAAGCACGACACTGCGTTACGGCTCCGAGTCTGCCCACCGGCTCGCGCGAGCCCGGCTTATTCTTCATTTACGTATTCCTCGTGCGACGCGTTGCATTGACTCACGTACGCGCGCGAACGCGTACGTGGTGACTAACAGCAAAGCACGACCCGCACAGGCACATCGTAACGAATTTCGCACCCGATAGTACCGCATGAACGAAGTGTGAGGTATTAAATGTCCCCTTTCCTCGTGCGACGCGTTGCTCCATTTAGCTCCGCGTTCCATTCCATTTAACTTTGCGTTTGTGACAATTTATTCGTACACTTGCAGACGTATTAGGTTGATTCGCGGAGTCTTTACCCGTAGATTTTATATTTTTGGGATTGGATAAAATAACTGGGTTAATTAGTTAAAAATAAAGTTAAAGTGTTAGGAAGTCAACAACTTGTCACTTAATTTAGTTAATTTTCAGTGAGTTAAAGGATTAACTTTTAACTCAAACTGGTTATTTTAAAACGTATTAATTTTCATTTATTAACTTATTCTTATTTAAGTTGAAATGATTCATTAATACTTAAATATACTTCGAGCTGCTGACAATGTATAATAAATAAAAACATAAAAAATAACGACAGAAGAATTTTTTGTCTTTTCAGCACACATCTTAGTATATTAATGATTTTTAGTGATTTATTAATGATGTCATTAATATGTTATTATATGGGAAAAACTTTTAAATCAGCCTAATAAATATCGATAATGATGACACAATAAATTTCTCGAATGCAACGTTCCTGTTTATGTGCAGACAGTTCTTCGAGTTCTCGAAAGGATGTGTACCGTCCAATTAAAGTCTGCTGGTCAAAGGTCATCGTGGTCGTTGCAAAATTCGGAAATGAGTCTCCGTAACATCATAATTGAACGAGAGAGTATAAACGAGCGCACGACGTGAATGCAACGGCCTGGAGATAAGACGAGACACCTTCTGCCCAAGGATTGATAATCTTTCGTCCGAGTGTCGGGTACATTTATCACACGGATATCGTAAGTGTAAGGAACATGAGAAGAGTAACCGTCAATCGACGTCGCTCACAACGCACAATTCATACTGACAACTCATGATTCACGTGTGTATATATTGCGTTACTCAAAAATGAACAGAATCACCTTACGTATCACATTCCTATCGATTGGCTCATTTCTCCAATCTTATCGCGACGATTAATATTTTCCGAGTTGTGAAATCTTATGTCCTCCTTTCTTTCCCATTTCTTCATTATTATGAAAGCGGTAGAAGGTTTTTCCCAAACAGCATAAGCTTTTAAAAAACGTTTTGAAGGCACCCGAAAGACGTCTTATATTCTTTATACACCTTCAAGTAAGGTTGGGTAATAACTAATTAATCAGTTAAAAGTTAAATTAAAACGTCAAAAAGTTAATGACTTTTAACTTAACTTAGTCAATTTATAATGAGTTAACTTTTAACTTAAACTAGTTCTTTTTCAAAAAGTATAAATAGTTAAAAAAATTAACTTACTCAATCTTACCTTTAAGACTTCTTTTAGACTTTAAGGCTTCTTATATTCGTTACCGTTATCCATAAAATATAATTGCGTTGACGTTATTGTTACCGTTATTAACGAAAAAGTAATATAGCTGTCACCAAATCGTTATCGAGGAAAAGTTTGCGACGGTAACGGCGTTACAAGTAACGTGTTACTTCCCAACACAATTCCTTTCTTGCATAAATGATGATTTATAATCAAACGATTGACTCACCTGCGTCCTTGCGATGAACTTCTCGTCTTCCATCTTCCAAGACGATTCCTCGCTATCTGGAATATCCTGGAGTTTTTTGGTGTGGACGTGTGCATCGGATTCGGGGGAGATGCTTCTTCCAACGACGGTGAAGCGATCGTTGACTGAATTCTTCGTTCTCTCATCCTCCTCCGTCTTGACTTCCGCCTTGGAGTCGCGTTTTCGTAAGCTTGCGAACAATCCGATCTCTCGGAATCGGAAAATCCGGAATCCTGACTTTTGAGATCTTGACTCAGAGGACTGCAGGATCTATTCCTCGAGATGATCTCGCGCTTCTCTTCCTTCGTTTCTTCCACGTCCATCCTACGTGAGCAAATGTTAATTGTATGTGTATGAGATTAGAACGCTCTCCTCTCTCTCTCTCTCTCTCTCTCTCTCTCTCTCTCTCTCTCTCTCTCTCTCTCGACAAAGATTATCGAATGCAATAGAGACAAATTATATTATTATCTATGGAATATACAAAGTGTTCGCGATCTTAACTTTATCGTTCTCTAAATAATATAATTTTTTTTTCTTACTCAATAACAATAAAATTAATTTAACAATAGTTTTGTTGTATTATCGCAATATTCAATGTGTTAATAGTTGGCAGTGCGCTATTTATAAATTACGTTAAAACATACGCTACAAGTGTACGTTACAAGTAGAGGAGAAGATGGCGATATTGAAAGAGTGGTAACATTGAAACAAGGGTGATTTCTTAAACAATTGTTACGATCTGTCGATAACTAAAATAAATATAATCATTAGGATCCTTAAAGAAATTTAATTACAAAAATTGTTTTAACATTAACAATTTTATAATAACAAGAAGTAAGCTTTATTTTCATGCCTGTTTCATATTACTATTCTAATTTCTATGACTCCACTTCTTGCATTGTTATTTTTGAACGATTTATTTCTCTTCTTTAATAATTATAAGAAATATATTTGCTAATAGTTACTGATGAAATTATTGCATTTAATATTGGATTTTTCATAAAACAAAAAGTAATGCATATTCTCACCTTCTCCCCTATTCTAAGTGAAATCAACTCTCTGCCTTCAATATTATACACCGCGCTAGCGTTTAATGGCGAATTTGTTGTTTCACCTGCGTACATACCTGCGACGCGCAATACTTTCGTCGCGTATCGACGAAATTGGACACGCGTTTCGTTTCGGATCCTCATCGGAACTTTTGCAAACACGTATCGCGGTGATATCGCCGCTATTCACTGTATTGTTTTCCGACTTGCCGGTCGAATCTTCTTTTTCCACGTCTTTTTCATGGGGCGGAAATTCAAAGGAGTCGCATTTCGGAAGACCATTTCTTTCTGCAAAGCGATCATCTTTCAGATCGCGCGTGGCCATCTGATCCCAGAACACTCTGCTCTGATATCTCTTGAACGCGCTCATGATTTCGCCGCTATTTTCATCTCACACAATAAAAAAACTAGCTCTACGTAATCACTACCTGATCACGATCTAGAATTGAAAGCATTCGCCAATCTTCTTAGTGATATTTTTATGTTTGCAGAATACGTTGTTGAAGAGAACGAGGAAGAGAGCTCGACAATCCGACGTCCCGACGGGACTTCAGTTTGCCGAGGTGCCTGGGATGCGCTCGGGGTGCAACGCAATGTTCGCTTCAACGGGGTGTTTTCACGACTCAACGGAGCGAAACGACCCTCCCACGGCTAGCGGGCGCGTGGCTGGAGAACGACCGTATGGTGACCGTCGCAACCCCACAAGTCGCTTGATGATGAGTGCCCCCTCGCGCGGCACGCGCTATTCTTCGGTGGATCCTTCTTTTCAACACGGACTTGAAACTTTTCACGCAAATCGTAGTTGAGTCGCACGCGACAGATCGTTATTCCGTTCAATTGTCGCCGATCGGGATGATATTTACGGTGAATTTAATAATAACTGCTCCTGTCGCTCCTGATTATCCTTGAGAACTTGCTGAGCTGACAATATCCCAGATTCCTCGGAACGGTTTGCAATTGAAATAGGTACCTTCCGCGAGTGTACGCATAAACAAACATAGACACACACGCGCGCGCACACACATATATATTTGCACGCACACCGTTTCGCGCGCGCTGCGCGATGATCGATCTGAGCGCGTTAATGCCCTACAATCGACTGACTGACTGACTGACTGACTGACTCGGAGCGCGGTTGCTTCCGACTTCCTCGCGCGCGCAACTCGCCGCGATCTCTCCCGTCCCACTCTCCGCCCAAAGCGCATAAGCCAAGTCCTGTGAAAACGCAACTCCTCCCCTTTCGTCTTTGTTGTTTCTGTAGGGGCAGCTTGCATGGGGTGCTCGTTTCCATATGTACCCCCTCGCACACACATGGGACACCGCGCGTGTCCATGTGTAACCGTCAAACCGTAACGAGGTGCGCTCTCTTGGACAGGATGGGACTCCCTCCCGCGGACATACGCCGGAAGACGCTTAATTAAGCTTCAATAGATACAAGGTGATCCAGGTTCTGCAATACAAAATAATAAACACTGCAAAGTGATGTTTATGGATATGCGATCTCGTCGCTCTGGACTTTTGCGATGTTGGACGAACATGAGACAATAGCGTGACTTTTCTAATGAGTGAAACATTGTATTGGATCAAGTGATTTGTATGTGAGTAGGGTTGAGAAAATTCTATATATATATATTTTTTTAATAACTCATTTTTACTTTTCGTTATTCATTAAGGAAAGCAACTCATTACCATTACACAGGAAAAATTAATATATTTATAAAAAACTAATATATTTAAGTTAACAATCATTGTTTTATAATAATCATTGTTGTATAAGCAACAATGTATTATTTTGTTAGGAGAATTTTTAATTTGAAATTTTGAATTTTAACAATGTTATAATTTTATTTCAAATAGTCTCATAAGAAATACAATACGATATTTCCAAAATAAATATGCTCTTTTTTCTGTGTAGTCATTTTGAAAAAGAACTCATTACCGTTGTCGTTATTCACGAAATAATGAGTTATAATTTTAGTTATCAAGTTTCTCCTTACCAAGTTTTGAATACTTCTTTTCTACAATGCTTCTTTGCTGACACATTTATATACAGATATTTTATATGTACAAAGCAATGATTATATTTGTCTCACCGTTACTAAAAAATGTATTTACCTTACTATCACTTTTTACTAACAAAAAATAAATAAATAACGGCGTTACCGAAGAAAAGAAACTTTAGATTCAAGTAGCTTCAGATAGCACAGGTAGTGATATCAAATGATATATTAATAACTTTTTAATATCTCTAAAGTTAATAATACCCCACACAGCACGTGATATATATAATATCACAGTAATATTTCAATAATATTTCTGCGATATTACAATATTACAGAAATATTACTGTGTTATTATATAATATTGCGTGCTGTGTGGGATGTCATTGAATCGTGTTTTTAGACATCATCCTATTATCAATATTGTAATGATAACGGCGTTGCAAGTAACGCATTGCTTTCCTTGATTCTGGGGAAAATTTAAATAACCATCCCCTCTGTTTTCTCTTGTAACTTACATATATTTGTATGAAATATTTTACAGTTATATGAAATAAATATGAAAAAGATATCTGATGCAGAGTGTTCTGTAACGGACGGCACAAACGAGGAAAGTGTGACTAACGTCCTCATGAAGGAAATTCATTAAGATGTGATAAACAAGAATGACAATAGTTTTTACTCATGGACCTGTACAGTAGGAGGCGAGAAAACGTTTCTATTTCATTCTCAAAGACGACAAGTCGTTGTCTGCCGTCTCGATGAAAGCGGATCTCTCGTTCATTGGCGTAGCGACCGCGACGTCTCGAGGGAAATCGATCGTTCAGTTCTTCCTTGGGAGACGTCACGAAATCACGCCAATGGCGCTTTTAAGGGCCAGGTGTGTGCCGCTATCGCTCCCCCACGTGCGAGCGGGGGTCGAGACCCCTGTCTTGTCCTGCCCCCCGCCCTCACAAGCATGGGACCCCCATTTTCTATGCGGTGCTCGCGTGTTAGCGAGGCGACGGTGCGGTGGAGTGTGGAGGCACGCGCCACTCTGTACATCTGCGTGAAAATGCCTGTGGTAATGCGTCATACGTGTGCGTACACGCACGTGGATGAGTCACTTACACGCATCCGCGTTGCGTGGACATTTATGAGAGAACGAAAGATTCGTAGACGCGTTTCTTCACGAATGCATTTCAGCGCGGCCATGGAGAGCTATTAAATAGCTTGCTTTAAATGTCTACGGGAAATAAAGATTCAATAAAGATTGCAGAAAGCTCGTAATCTGTATACTCACATACACTCAAAGAAAAAGTATCTAGAAAATAATATTTATATGTGGTAAATATTTATATGTGGTGTGTACTAATAACATATATTCATATAAGTCTAATTTCTTTTACTTAAATAGAATAAATAATTGCTTTCATGAAAAGCTAAGCTTCTTAAAGTTTTAAGAAAATGCATATTTTCTTATTTGCAAAATGTTTTATATTAGTATGAGTAAATATGTTTTTGTGCCAAGTAAATATGTTTTCTGTTTTTTAGATATTTTTCTCTCAGTGTATATGCTGCATAATCTCTTAATATATGGATATAGTTGAAATAATTCAATTGATAATTGAACGTGATAATAAAAACGTGCAATATACATGACACTGTGACGTTGTCACAATGACAAATGATTTCTCGAAATATTGAAATGCTAAATGTCTCATTTGCAAGCTCTTCCTTTAAGTGATGAATATCGAAGCTGTTGATATTGGAAAGTGTTGAAACCGATAAATGAAGGTTTTGATGGTAGATTCTAATAACGAAATCTTCTTCTACACCCGATGTTCCTCGTTACTGTCCTTTGTACATATATGTCCGCGCGCGCGAGCGCGACGCAGTCCCAACTGCGCGTCTAGGAGACGAAGGGGAGCGTGCAACCCCTATTGTATTGAGAAAAATGGGGGACAGATGTGTACAAACCGTTATTTAAGCGCGCGCGCATGTAAACTTGTACATGCGGCGTTTAAATTTTGATGATTTCTGCGAATCTTGAATTTAGCATAAAGATATGTCAGAGAAAGTTTAATTGATTTTTGCAGGAATAATCGTTTATTACTAGTCGTTTATTTTATATACCAATCGTATCTTCGCATGAGAAATTTAAAGAGAGAAATATATTCATAAACTTAATTTTTCTAGAGACGTTCGACCGATTACTCAACGTTATATTCCTTTTTTCATTAAATAATTGATTATTTTTTCAACATTTTCATACTTGCTTAACTCCCGCGATGAAAATTCAAGTCTATCTTATTTCGTTGCTATTTTATTCTTTTCTTTTTGTAGTAAATCTTTACACGACGTAAACACTATTCGACAACACTCCACTTTGTTATCATTGTCGTTAATGAAGTTACAGTTTGTTAAATTTTACCTATATTTTAAAATACTAGAACATTCAACTTACGTGTCCATTTCAGAAAACGTATTCAGAAAACTTAATGGAGGATCTAATCGCTACCTTGGACAAGAAAATGGATGCTCACAGAGAGAAGAAACAGCAAACATTTCAGCAAGCTCAGATGAAAGCTCTCCCAACAGAAAGCATAACATCGCAGTCGCAATAGCTTTGTGAGATTATATTCAATTGTGTAATTAACATTTAAATGTCAACACACTTGTTAAAGTGTAATTAACATTTAACGTTTAAGGTCAACAACGTCCCTCGCTGTATGAGCAATGTAAACTTTCTGTTTTATTTATTTATACTACGCAACATTTATTGATAATAAGTCGCCCAGCTATATGTGTCACAATAACTCAACACAATCTATTTAAATTGAAAATTATGTGAATCATAGAATACGTTCTCTTCTCAATTCCTTTATGTCAATAAATGTATTAATAGTTTTGTTATATGTAGTCTATATATTTTTCAGAATAGATTAAAAACATATTACCTATTGCTGAATTGTAATTTTATCTCAATACAATACAGAAAAAATTATTAGCTAGATGCTGTTTATATCCATCACTATTAGTGATGGATTTTTGGGTGCGTACAGCGAACTCACAGCTGCACAACAGTTGAGCAATGTAATTGGTCTAGATTTAGAGATCTAACAGTAAGAACCAATAATCGCTTATTGCTTACTGAGCGCTTTTTCTGCTGAACGCGCCCATTGCCTGTTGCTTGGCATTGTGTATAGAGCGTAACTCACAACCGGTTGTCAAACGCGATGTGGCACAGCTGTAGTTGTGGCGGATTGTTTCGCGAAGAATACTGCGAATAATTGATAAGGACATAAAAACATAATTAACCGTCATTACGTTAAGTGTGTTTGAACACGTTCGAATCTGGTTTTTTTTGGAATTCGTACGTCGGTACCTCGGATGAAAAGATAATAGAGATAAGTCTGAGTCCAAATAAAATAATAATAATAAGAAGAAGAACAAAGTAAAATAATGTCATCGACATATCTGACAGGAGGCAGATTAAATGTTGGACTTATACAAGAACAAGCGAGGAAGCGCTTGCTTTGTCTGCTGGAGAAATGCGATGGCTCGAAAGTAAGATGTGATAACCTCTTCACTTGAATTATTTAATATTAATAAGTAATAATCTCGCATGTTTGTAAGGTTTAATTACATGTTATCAAAGAAATGAGATACTATTTTTCCAAATGCAAATTTACAACAATTAAATGTTAAGAAATATATATATAAGTTTATTTCTTAATATATATATATATATATTGCATGTAACATTTTTTTATTGTTTCTTGTGTAGGCTATTATATGGGATCAATCATTGGCTGGGCCAATTGGTCTTGTGGCAAAATATAATTTGTTAGAAGAATATGGTGTTATTAAAATGTATCCATTGTATGGTGGAACTTTGACGATACCATCCAACATTGCTAACATTATATTTATTTCAAGACCACAGTTAGAACTCATGGATTTAATAGCAGAGAATATTCGTGGGTCAGTATATAAAGAATATTGTTTATATGAGATTTGTAGTGACCTCGAGATTTGATGACCGTAGCAATAATTATCAACATATTGATATACATATATATTAATAAACATATAATTATCAACATGCTTATACAGGGAAGAAGATAAAAAGCCACGTAAAGAATTTCACTTATTCTTTGTGCCACGGAAAAGTCTACTTTGTCAAAAGAAGCTTCAGAATCGTGGCGTATTTGGGAATTTTACGTTAATAGAAGAATTTAAATGTGATCTTTTCCCATTCGACAATGATTTACTATCAATGGAACTGAGCAATTCTTTCAAAGAATTTTACTTGGAAAATGATCCTACTTGTCTGTATCAGGTTGCGCAAGCCATACAAGGTTTGCAAAAGTTGTATGGGAAAATTTTGAAAGTCACAGGAAGAGGGCCAGCTGCTAGCAAAGTTTGGGAATTATTAGAAAGGTTAAATAGAGAAGAAGAAGACAATAAGACCATTTCCTCCTCTGTTGCCATTGAACATTTGTTACTATTGGATAGATCTGTGGATTTACTTTCACCTTTAGTCACACAGTTGACATATGAAGGTTTGATCGATGAAATATTTGGAATAAAATACAGCAAGTATCAATTTCATATTTTTTACTATATATTTTATATCGCGGACATAATGTTTTCTTTATTTAAAATTTAAAAAATTATAATTTAGAGGACAGTTTGCTTAATTTCAATTACCAGTCACAGTCTTCATGAATAAAATATTAATGAAATATTTCTTTGCTCGCCCTAGATACCGTGCAATTGCCTGCGAAAAAGTTTCACGATTCCGATGATTCTCCCACAGCGATGTCGCTAAATGAAAAAGAACAAATCATATTGAATTCGGGGGAAGAACTTTTCGCTGAGATCAGGTGTGTATCTGTATAGATTTCCTCTTAGCAATGCTTTATGAATAATTCTTACAGAGATAAAAATTTCAATGGTGTCGGACCAGTCCTTAATAGGAAAGCCAAAGTGATTTCATCTCAATTTGACGAAAAACACGGTGACAAGAGTGTGCAAGAAATCAAACAATTTGTTGCAAGGCTACCGCATATGCTAGCCACCAAACAATCCTTGGCAAGGCGTAAGTAACAAATGCATACACTTGAAATATTAATGCAATTTTTCCGGCATTCGCGATGAAGATCGTTTTTGTAACTTGCAATCTCGTCTTGTTTAGATACTATAATCGCTGAAATGATAAAGGAAGTTACTGATTCAAGCAGCTTTTTGGAATCGTTGCAAGTCGAACAGGAACTGTTGAATTGCATCGACACGGACAAACCGAACGCTTACATCGAGGACATGATAGCGCAGCAACAGCCATTACTTAAAGTTTTGCGTCTTCTCTGTATACAGTCATTGACGAATTCTGGTTTAAAGCCAAAGCTGCTCGACTATTACAAGAGAGAGATAATACATACTTATGGGTTCCAACATCTGCCGACTATATTAAATTTAGAAAAAGCCGGATTGCTGAAGCAGCAACAGTCGGTACGACAATACGCAGTCTTGAGGAAGGCATTGAGACTCACGGTCGAGGATGAAAGTGAAATCGCACCAAAAGATATCAGTTATGTACATTCTATATATGCACCACTGAGTGTGAGATTGGCCGAGCAATTGGTACAACCAATTGGGTGGCAAGGATTAAATGATGTGATGGGGTTACTGCCAGGTCCTACTGTAAGCAGTGTTCCATACAATGCGCAGTCTTCGTTAGCGAAGCGTGAGTTTAAATTTATAGTTTACCTTCATACCCTCTTAAGTCTCGTCTGTACAGAGTTCGCATTTGTAAACATATTTCTCTTCGAAATACAATAAAAATCTATTTCAGGAAACTCTATCACCAGCGAAGACTCCAGTTCTGAACCAGCGAAACTGATTATGGTTTTTTTCATTGGAGGATGTACTTTCGCAGAAATATCGGCTCTTCGATTTCTATCGCAACAGGAAGATTGTGAGTACCATGTGATAGTTAAAAAAAGTAAAAATTCATAATAGGTACATTTTAGATTTGTCCAACACAAGTCTGTTTTCAGTGAATGTTGAATTTGTCGTGGGAACCACCAGATTGATCAACGGAGACACGTTTCTTACTTCTTTAATGGAAGATCTAGAGCAGACGTGATGAAAAAACATTTTTAGTTTTCTTTTTAGTTTTTTTTCTAGATACATCACAATATTAAACACATAATTTTTATTATTAGAATAAAGCGAGGATAAAAGCCTTCACACAAATCGTCAATTCACAAATTGACACAACAGTAACGTAAGAATTGATCAATCACGCTGAGAATCGTCGAATCGTAAGTAGTCATTTTTATAAACATTTGATCGTAATTGATCAATTCTTATGATATGTTTTACGTTATATTGTTAGGTCAATTTGTGTATGAAGGCTCTAGAGCGAGACTTCTATTTGACAGTATATAAAGGAACAATTTACAACTTTTTGCTTCACTCGTGAAATGCGCGAGCAGTCATATTACGCATAATATATTATAACACGAGATTTATATACTTATCTAGATTATTTGCTAGATACGTCGTATTTTTTAAGATGTATAAGATTTGTAGATATGTGCTTGCTTCTGCAACGAATTATACTGTATATTAAGCTGTATATGACATCCCTGATGGAAATATATTACTGAAAATTTCTTTGAAATTTCCTCCTTTTTATTAAAATTCATTATATTCATAAAATCCATTACAATTTGTAGAATTTATTTTATTGTTACGTAACAATGAAATTAATTTTATAAATTTTAATAAATTTTACTAATTTTAATGAATCTTCATGAGTTTTAAAAAATTTTGATTAATTTTAATTAATCATAACGAATCTTAATAAATTTTAAAATTAAGATTTTCAGTAAATATTTCCATCAAAGACGTATGCGATTAACTGCATTGCGCAACATTGGTTTATTTAATGTTGTGAAGCAACATACGCGTTACAGCACAGTTTACCGCGCGTACTTGGCAAGCATTGCAATGCACTCCTAAGATGAATGCTCCAGTCGAATCGTTTGTAATTGGTCTTGCAGCTGAGCATAGCGCATTTGCAACGAGCGCTCTCGCTCTGTTTGTCTGTTCACATCCTCCATCAGTCCGTTTATTCGTCTAGGTATTGCCGCCTCTTCTTGAGTTTGCAGGAATTTAAACGTCGATAGTTCGAGGTGCGCCTGCTCTATCTGTTCCCACGTGTCGTGCAGTTGCTTCGTCAATACTTGCGCTCTGGTCTGTTCGAAAACAAAGCATCACTTGTATTTACTTGTATTTAACCATTGACTTTTGCTTATATTTTAAAATTTACTTATTTAAAAGGACTTGATGCGCATTCACGCGGATGAGATCACCTAGGTAAATTTGAATTTTACAACACAAATTATGCGGAAATCACCTTAGGATCTTCGTGCTTTATACTTTAGTTATTTTAATATTGGCTAACGGTTCGGTTATTAGTTATTTCCGTAATGTACAGAATAATCGCGTTACCGTTTCATTGATTCGCACCACTCAAATCTTAACTTCAGATTCGCGCACGTTAGCATACAACCTTTTGATTTCTCTACCGTTTTCTATCGTTTATTCTGAATGTGGACTTCTACTTACTTGATAACCACCAGTCAATATTTTTAACTTCTTCTCCATTCTTGCAGCGCGTTTAGCTTCACCGGTCATGTGCATACGATTTTCCTCCAATTTTCTTTCACATGCTTCCACTCGATCTTTCTTCGAGGCCAATGTCGCGCGAGTGTACCGTTTTTGCGGCTCTAGGTACAAGATCTGCGACAAGCATTCTTCCCATACGGTGGTATAAGCATCTAGGCTCAATTCACCATGCGCCATACCTTCCTTTACGACTCCCATCTCGTCGTTTAACATTTTCTTAGCCTAAATTCGATCAGTTAGTACAAAAATATAATTAAGAGCAGCTTAAAGTTATAATACGAAATATCATATTAATTAATAATATAAAAACATGTATCTTAAATGCATAATGCATTTAAGAAAATTCTTTATACTTACACCAACAAGATCATTTTCCTCGAAGGTATCATATGGATGTATTTCCAAATAAGCTTGAGCCTGAGCCAATGACATTGCGGCGCCCTTTCGATTCGGTTGCGTCGGGTTTTGCAGCGCATCATAGTGCAACATCGTGATCATTTCTCGTTTTATCAATTCCTCCGCCTAGGATTACATAACGTAAATTAATTTACGAGAAGCAATAAGTTTGAAAAAATTTTGTGTGTAAAGCTAAAAACATTATTATACCCTTTGTAAATCAGTTAACGGTGTGTCCATATAGGGTCTTAAAATATTCATATTCACATCCACAGGGCGCGGTAACTCTCTTTGTATCACTTGCGATCTGCGTGCCAATTCTCTTTTCCCTAAAATAGAAACAGAAAAATACTTGTTAGAAATATCCACAAATAATTAATAATAATAATTAAAAAGACACTAATTTGCGCGTTACCTTTACTATATTAATTTATATTATATTATATTAAAACCAAAAATACATTTATATATTTAATATATATTATTAATATATTTATTTATGAATCCAAAAGCAAAATTGTGTTATCATTTCTAATAAAACAATATAACGCCGTTACTGAAAAGCAACATAGTGGTAAACAGCATTATTTCCCAACTCTACTTTCCTTAGAATAAAGTTTTCTATTGTGCGTATCTACGAGAGAGATCGGCCAATACTGTCGATAGACTTACTTTCCTCTATCAATTCCTGTTGTTGTCTCGCATCAATGTCTGCTTGATCTTCGACCATATCGTTTGCTAGCATGCTGGTGTTCTCCTCGCTTACCTCTTCGTCGCGCATGTCTATCTCATAGTCGTTGCAAGGCGCTGGTAAAGAACTTAATGCTGCGCGCAACGAACTTTTCGCTTGCGTCTGTACAAGCGGAGTCTCCGAGCCGTCCGCGCTTTCGTCCGGATTAATGTTGAGCTTATCGCGAACGGGTGTCGCCGCTAAAACGCCGTTTTGCGTTCGCACCGACGCTCCGCCCGGTGTGTTGAATGTATTCACGGGTGTTCCGTCGCTGCGTTGCGAGCGGAAAGGGGTTGTCAAAATCGTATTTGGTGTGGCGACAACATTAGTAGGTGGCACGACACCGGTGAAGTCCGGATTATTGAGTGGAGTGTTTAAACCACCTGTGCAAAAAGACATTTGTGAAATTCGATATGATAAATATAGGCGATTGGAGTGTTGGGAAAAATTAAATAACTACGTTTACACAGCAGCACAAAAATGCCACGCTTCAATAATAATCCTAATTTACCTTTACATGAACAGTATAGAAAATCGATTTAATCATTTCTATTGTAACTATTGATGTTACATGTATAAACAATTAAAATGAAAGTACTAATGCCTGGACACTAATAACACTAATACCTAACTTTTATTATTTATTATTAATTTAAATTTATTTATTTTGGCTTAATTTTTAAATTACGATTTAAACTTTTCATAGAATAAATGTATATATCCAATGTATGTACATATATTCACCTTCTATATTGAAAGTTAAAATATTTTTATTTAAAGACCAAAACAATAAAAGTGCTCAAAGCCAATATTATTTGTGTCTGATTTGATATTTTTACCTTATGTCACAACTATAATTATGACATGTACAACATTAGTTACAATATTAAGGACTATCAGTTTTATATTAGCCATGTAATAATAAAAATATTAATTTCATAATTTTGGTATACAAATTCCTTGTATATGTATAGTATATTTCTTATGCAAACCAGAATAAATATACTAATTATTGTAATATTAGCAGTTATAATATCAAGGATTATCAAATCGATTTTATACTGGTCATGTAACAATCAAAATACTAATTTGATAATTTCAGCATATAATATATATATATATATATATATATATATATATATATATATATATATATATATATATATATATTTGTTACACATATTATAATAAATATATCATAGTTGTAATATTAGTAATGAGATAATATCAAGATTAAATCGGTTTTATGCTGATCATGTAAACATAGTTTCTACAATCCATTTGCGAGTATTACCAAATTGTTCCAAGCTGCCATGTAAACATAGTTATTGTTGTGAATGTTGTACCCACCTTTGAGTGGCGTGTCCACATGCGTGAGAGCCATGACATTTTGAGCTTCCTGCAATATTCTATCCGTGACGGCTGGTGTGCGAGGCGTTACTGCCGCGTTTGTAGGTAAGGAGTAATCGGCCAGCAAACTGTCGGATAGAGTGATACCACTCTCGGTTGCAACTTCTCGAGCGACCTGTGATATATCGAGTAATATATATGGATACCAATATACATATGACAGATATACAATTATATATACGATCAATCAAAGTACATACTTCCGACGCTCTGCCGAGCTTCACGACTTGCTGCAATTCTTGATCGGAGATCTGCGGTTCTGGCAGAACCAATTTGCTTCTTTTCCTTATGGGTTCCTCGTTGTTCAGCATACCCATAGGAATATCGTTCTCTTTGCGTTGTTTAAGCTTCTGCTTATCTTTTCTGCGTTCCATTTCTTCCTTTTCTTGTCGAAGCTCGCCATCCAAGTGTTGCTGTCTCATTCTTGAGAAGTCGATCGCCAGTGGATCGACGTGCTCGTTCGAGGTGTCGTAAAAACCGGGTGCGGGTCGCTTCTCAAATGGTATCTCTGTGTTATAATTCACGCCGCGTTTGCGCTTGTTCTTCTGCGACACTGTAATCCCGGCGGCTCTTAACTCTCGACGTTTTTGTAAAGCAGCGAGCCTGCGTGCCTCCTCCAACTGCTTTTCACGCGCTTTGCGTTTCGCCTTCTTTCCTTGAGTGTTTGCGAGTCTAGCGCGCGCCTCCGACAACATTTCCAATTCTATACAATATATATAATTGTTACAAACAGAATTATTTTTAAATCAAAAACTTGGGGGGAATAAGGGCCTATAAAACCATTAACATGGATAGTGTTATAAAACTAGCTATAAGACAGCTAGTATCTATCCTCACTTATGTAGAAATAAAAAAAGTATTTATTCAAATAACCAAACGCGTTTCATACGTTTCACGCGTCCGTTTGATGTGAACTGTTTAGGAACTTATTGTTGACGCACATTGCTATCTTCGATCTTTATATGACTTTTCTCTTTTTATATATAATCAAGGTTTTTTTTTTATATTGCTACCACTAAACAGTTAAAATATAAAATTCTTCTTAGAATTACTTTTGCTACAATCATATAATTACAGTAAAACACTACACAGATGACAAACAGTATTAAATATAATTGAAGCTGCTTTGCTACAAATAATTTTCAACTCACCATCTTCATCCATATCTTTAGGATCTGGTCTGGCTGGTTTTGTTTCTGGATTAGGGTCAATTTCTCCAGGCTTAAGTTTACGAGGATCATCAGCGGCATCATCTCCCTCTTCTTTCTTTTGTGCTTGGTCACTAAATTGACAGTAAATTGATAGTAATGTAAATCAAAGAACAGCATAATATAAAAAGACAGCAGTGTAAATCAGTTGGCATATTATTTGTATCAAGTAAATGTCATAGCAAGTAAATACTCACAGTAAATATTCATATCTTTCTAAACACTGTGCTGCCGTTCTCCCAATTATGGGTGCAATAGTTCGCCATTGGGTGGGCATCAACTTAGCAAGATGCAATAACTTCTCATCCTCTTCCCGGCTCCATTCGGTTTTCTTTATACTGGGATCCAACCATTCGAACCAACGTGCCTTGCATTGCTTCGCTGACTTTCTATGCAATAAAGATGCTATACGGCTCCATTGATTCTTACCATATTTCATTACAGCCGCCTTTAAAATTTCATCCTAAAAAACAAATTATAACGTTAAGTAAGATAATTCGCAGCAGTTGGAGGAGGCTTTGAAAAAGCATCGAGAGTTGAAAGCTGTCGGGACTATAATACTGCAATCACAGTACTGTGCCATAAAAGAACAGGCGCAAATGCGACGTCAATCATAACACGGAGATGCCGTGTTTTGAAAAGCGACCTGCTTAAGGTCCAATATTATTCCATTCGGAAAAACAATCTTAGGTTAGAAAATGTCTTGTTGATTACCTCTGTATTCCGCCAAACACCACCCTTTATCATAATACGCGGCATGATTTATGTGATTTATTTGACGATGCAGCAGCAACAAAATTATTTTCAATTATGAAAAACTGACAAACGCGAAAGATTCAAGAAAACCTTTGCTTGCACACCAGTGAACTTGAGTGAGCTCTGTACATACTGAAGTGAGCCTTTATAGGTTGGTGGTAGGGATGGGCAATTATCGATCGATGATTTGAGAATCGATGCTTTTTGTACAAATAATCGATTATTTTCCCGATGTTTTTGGAAATCGATTAATCCCTATATCGACAGTTTTTTACTTCGATGTTACTAAATTTATTTCGATGTTTACTAGATTTTATTACTAGAGGTTTAGGATGCGCCCTTAAGTTTACATATAATCATAAAAAGCTGAACAATAATAGGTGCTTTCCAATTGCGTACACTGTGTTACACAAAACTAGTTTATTGGTTGCATATTATCTTACAAGATATTTTAGGGCTGCATTCTAAAACTCTACTCGACGGGTAAAGTACATTTAATTGTCCAATCATGATAAAGAAATCCTAGTTATCTTTGTTCTTATTGGTTAATTAAATGCTATTCTATCCGTCGAGTAGAGTTTTGGAACGCAGCCTAGATAATATGTGACCAATAAACTGGTTTGTGTACGTGTGTGTCAAGATGTGTTAAGCAATTGGAAAGCACTCAATGACACGGTAGTGTTGAATAGCATTAATGGCTTGGTTTACATTGTACACTTGATACGCGTACTAAATAGTAACTTTCTATTAGATAATCTTAATATCGACAATGCATATCAACGGCGATGCATCCAATCAATATAAAACGTTTTGTTGATGAATATTATACCAGCTTAATATACCGTTGTTTATATATATCGTCGATATTAAGATTATCTAATAGAAAGTTACTATTTAGTACGTGTATCAAATACACGATGTAAATCAAGCCAATAGCGAGCTCCCCGAACGCCCTCTATGAATACCGGCCTATAACCACGGCAACTTCTCGGCAGCGATCATATTTTACTACTATCGGCAATGTAGGAATCCACAAGTCGAATCAGCTTGGCAACACGACCGGCGCACAGAGCCGTCGCCGCCATCGCGACAGTAACCCTCCTGTGCGTCTCTGTATGCGGTTCGCTCGAGTGTGTAGTGTATACGGTATAGGAGTATACGCGGAATAGGAAGAAGTACAGTCAGGTACAGTGCGGCACGGTGCGAGCGCGGGCCACACAGCCGAAGCGGGCGAGAACGCAGCGGAGGATCTTTCGCCGACACGCGAACCTTGCGTAGGTCGTTCGGGAGTCTGAGCGACGGCGAGGGGCCGCGTCGACCCGAACTCGCCGCGGCTCGCTTGTTCTCTCTTCCTCGGTCCTTCTCACTTCGTGCTTGCGCGCGCGCGCGCGCTCTCGTCGGCTGCGTGCGTCGTGCGTGTGTGTACGTCTAGTGCGGTGTGATGGACACGACGGTGTGTGTGTACGTGCGTGCGTGACGTGCGTATACGAGGACGACACGACGCGACGACAACGACGACGACGAGGAGGAGCAGGAGGAGGAGGAGGAGGAGGCGTGTATTGTTCCGGGGCGCGGTGCGCGGTTTCGCGCGACAGCGTATCAACGGTGGCAGCGGGATCGCTCGTGGACAGACAGGCGCTTAATATGCCCGCGGGATCGGCGGCGGCCAGGCCTTTCGGGAAAGAGTGCTGCTGCTGCTCCTGCTCCTCCGCCACCTCCTCACTCGCTTGAAGAGAGTGCACGGAGAGTCTGCGAGGCGCATGCTTCCCCGCCCCTCGCTCCCTCGCCATTTTGGAGGTGAATACAATTTTCTCTCGGCCCTTTCTTTTTTAGTCCGCGACCGATGTTGCTGCTTCGCCGCGAATTTCCGCTGTCGAGCGACGACAGCATAATAACGACGTAGCGCGCCAGCCGGGCGACGGCCGCGGCTCGCGCGAACAAACCGCTCTGGTGTGTTGTGTGTTTTTGGTGTGATGTCGTGATCGTGTTTGTCGTCGTCGAGCACATCGTCGACGACACGGCGCATTCGAACGTAGGCTTGGTCGGTCGGGTTGCGGACGGACGAGTGCGAAGACCCAACCCTCCTTACACCCGCATCTCTTTCTCCATCGGTCTCCTGCGAATTTCCGTGCGTCGTCTCTGTCTCTAATGATATCTCTTTCCTTCGATTCACGTTTTCCGCGAAGAACTCTCGTCGATTTTTCTGCTCCTCCAGAGGTTTGTTCATATGAGAGGCTTTACGCTCCTCCGAGAGCTCCGTCTTTCTCACTCTCTGTCAATCCGCCTGTCTCTCTCCCTCTCTCTCTTCCTCCCGTTGTCTCTCGCTCACTCGGTCTCTTTCTCTTTCACTCTCGCTGCCGCTCGATAATTCTCTCTCTCTTTCTCGACGCCCTCGTCCGAACGCCGCTTGTGCGCGCCCTGCCGAATTTCGCTCACGATCCGGTTCGGTGTGTGGTATGCCTCGAGAAGAATAGTCGATAGTCGTCGCGCGGATGCACGTCGGTGATCGCCGTACCATCATCGCGGAGACTACGAGAGGAAACTGCGACGATGACGGCGGCGGCTGTGTCCTCCTCCTTTGACAGATCCTCCTTTTTCGATGTACTGCTGGCTATCTCGATCTCTTGCTTTCGCGAGTAACGTGACTAACGCGACAACAATGACGGGAGTGCGGCGGTTTCGCTCGCTCCTGCGGGAACATGCCTATTTCTGTGTCTCTCGAGACGTCGTTACGTGTTCTTCGCGCTCGTCGACGGCGGATCGCTTTTAGACATTTGTCTCTTCATTCTCCTTCCTCTCCCTCTTTCTCTCTCGGTCGCCGGAACGAGAAAGAGGAAAAAGGGAGAAGATCACGATGTGTCGGACAATGAGCCTAACGTAGATGTTTGTTGTGTTTGCGGTGCGTTTAAAAGGCGTGTGCTGCTGCTGTGCCGTTCGCGTACGCTCGCGGTGTTGTTTGCAAAGCTCGCCGAGTGCATCCGCGCGCGAAAGGTATTCCGACTTGCGTTCGACTTTTCAAACTCGAAGCGAAATATCGAAATAATGATACTAACGAATGTGTTCGAGAAGAGCGAATGCCTTTCCGGGAACTCGAGAAGCTCGCAGACGTAGATTCTTTATTGGTGAATTTCGAAGTTATCACAAGAGGCTCGCGCAAAAACCAAGTCGTATGCTGTGTGACAAAATTTAGTATTGTGAGTGAGTGGAGAGAACTACGTTTTCGAGCCGATCCGCGACATAAGAGGCCTGTTCATTTTCGTGGAACTTCCTGAACTGCAATAAGTTGAAGTGAGACAAATATATATTATGTTCCACACTCTAACTTATCACACCCATTCAGGAAGTTCTTGGAAAAAGAACAGGTCTAAAGTCTGCTCTTTTTGGAAAAATTTTCTAAATTTTTTGTACATGACTGTGATAAGTTTGGGTGAAGTGAAATATATTTGTTTCGCTCCAACTTATTGTAAACTAATTGAGGAAATGCTTTGATAAAGAACAGGCTTATAGCAGATAAAGCTTGAGTTTTATGTTTATTGACATCTTGAATAGATAGTAGGTTTTTGAGGAACTTCTGAACTAATGCAATAAGTTGCATTATTTTGAGTAAAATAAGTATACTTTCAAACAATAAAAGTATATACTAAGGTTATACAGCTCTTGAATTAAATGAAATTAAAGGTGTTCAATAGGACAATGAAGAGCCAAAAGTGCTGATGTTAGATGCTTGTAATTTAAATAATTTAACAAGCATCTAATATCAGCACTTTTGGTTCCTCATCGTCCTATTGAACACCTTTAAGTATACTTTGTTTCATACTAATTTACTGCACTAGTATGCATCGGTTTAGAAGTTCTTTGAAAATGAACAGACCAAATATCAGATAGTAGGAAGATGTTGAATAATGACTTTTCTCGGTGTGCCTCTCTGAGCGTATTTGAGATATGTGTCCTTCTTACAGATAGAATATTAATCTTGGGAATGGACTGACAGAGGATTCAACGCAATAAGAAAGTTTGGCCAAGATAGTCGAAAGACAGTAACAGGACAAGGTGTCTGGACAAGGCCTCGGGCGTCCAATCATCAACAACTCGACTATGCCAGCTGTTGCAAGGCCTGGTAGTTTAAAAGACCCAGAGATTGCCGAATTATTCGAGAAAAATGACCCGGAGAAGATATTTGAGGATCTGCGCGAGATCGGGCATGGCAGTTTCGGGGCTGTTTACTATGCACGATGCCTGGTTACCAAAGAAATTGTTGCCATCAAGAAGATGTCTTACCTGGGGAAGCAAACGGTGGAAAAGTGGCAGGACATTTTGAAGGAGATCCGATTCCTTAGGCAACTTAATCATCCTAACACTATAGAATATAAGGGTTGCTATCTCAGGGACCACACTGCCTGGGTATGTGCTGGATATCAAGCTCTTGTTTTCTTTTGCCTTTCCATTAGCTCATAGCTGCTTTTCAATATTTACTGCCACCATTGCCAGAGTTATAGTTTGTATCACATATATATAGAGTATTTGATGTTAAATATCCCATACTTCGTGTACATGTAGATTGGGTAAAAAAAAGTTCTATTTTTTTTGGAAAATTTTTGAGCAAAAATATTCTCTATCATTTTGCAAATAATCATGTAGATTATTTTATTGTAGTTATTAATTGAAGAATATTGGTGCATTATTGCTCGCGATTAGTTGCGGGCAATCTTCTTTAATTTATAACACGAAATTTCACGTGGTTATTTGCAAAATGGTGTAGATGACTTTTTTATTCAGTTCATTCTAATCTGCATGTACACGAGAGTGTGGGGATACTTGGTATCAGACATCCTGTAGATTTCCAGCGCTCAGTAATTTTGAAACACAACCTTTGTCAATAGCTGTTACGTGTGCTTCCCACTATAGATTTTTTCAAATAGGATTAAACTTTTATAACTAGATAATGCCAAGATAGGGACCGAGTGTAAAATGTCAAGTTATAAATATTATGGGTCAGTCGTACTGACTGTGTAAAGTGTGCTTGACGTGGTAGATAGATAATTAGAACGCTATGAGAACTCGTGAATACGATATATCTTGCAGTTGGTGATGGAATATTGTCTTGGCTCCGCATCAGATATTATTGAAGTACACAAAAGACCTCTGAAAGAAGACGAGATAGCTGCGATATGCGAAGGTGTATTGCGCGGTTTGCATTACCTTCACACTCTCGGGAGAATTCATCGTGACGTAAAAGCGGGGAATATTCTACTTACCGAGAACGGTACAGTAAAATTGGCTGATTTTGGATCCGCGAGTATAAAATGCCCGGCTAATAGCTTCGTAGGAACTCCGTACTGGATGGCACCGGAAGTCATATTGGCGATGGACGAGGGGCAATACGATGGCAAAGTTGACGTATGGTCATTAGGAATAACATGCATCGAATTAGGTATGTCGATCTCTAATAATATTTAAATCTCTAATAATATTTGTCACGTGTCATAAATTGTGTGAACCTCAGACCTTCCGTTTCGTCGTGTTTATCTATCCTGACTGCCTGTTATCTATTTTAACTTGAAGGTCAAGCTATAGAGATTAATTATCAACACTCACATTAATTACAGCGGAAAGGAAACCACCTTATTTTAACATGAATGCTATGAGCGCTCTGTATCATATTGCACAAAATGATACACCAACTCTAAATTCTCCAGATTGGACCGACGTCTTTCGTCATTTTGTTGAAGTATGCCTGACAAAAAGTCCAATCGAAAGACCAACATCCGGGAAATTGTTATCAGTGAGTTGTTCTTAGAAATGTCCGTACGATGATATTTTATATATGTATTTTCTTTGTGTGTATGTATGCGTGTGTATGTGTGTGTATGTGTGCATGTGTGTATACTGTAAGTAATATGTTAATAACAGTTTAGTTATTCTCTTACATATAGGCTTTCAATTTTGCAGCATCAATTTGTTACCAGAACGCGTTCTCCTCAAGTTTTGATAGATTTGATACAGAGAACGAAAGCTGCGGTCCGGGAATTAGATAATTTGAATTATCGTAAAATGAAAAAGATACTGATGATCGACGCGTGTGAAACAGAAAGCACAGTTGGCGATACTGACGGTATGTCGTATAGACACAATTTATTAAATATAAACACATTACATGTGTAATATATCTATATCTACAATATTCTCATACAGGAAGCTAAGGAAAAATAAAGAGATTTAGGGACATGCACTCGCAAAAATAAATAAAAAAAAATGTTTATATCAGTCCCTAAACCTCTTTATTATTTTTGTTGTGTGTTTTTCTTTCTCTTTCCTCGGTATATGCTGCGGATAGATTTGTTCTTATACTGAGGGAATCAAACTGTTGTGACGACGCGTTACAGATACTCCTGATGAACAAACAGGCGGTGATAGTAGTAAAAGCAATTCAATTACCTCAGAACATTCGATCCACTCGATAGGCGTCTCGGCAAGCTCTCAAAGTTCCTCCACGAATAGCCTGCCGCTGCCGAATGCCGATAGTAACGACTACTCCACGGGATCTGTTCGAAATCGGCATAAAGTTCCAGCAGGCGGTGTCACTGCCAATCTTCTTGAACACGGTGCCAATAATTTTGCGACAATTAGGACAACTTCGATTGTTACGAAACAACAGAAGGAACATATGCAAGAAGAGATGCATGAACAAATGAGTGGATACAAACGTATGAGAAGGGAACATCAAGGTGCTTTGGTAAGAGTTCAAACATTTCATCTATTTTGTGTTTATTGAAATTTCACTGAAATTTTGGTGCTTTATTGTAAATCACACAATGCTTGAAGAAATTAATAAAATTGTTTATGTAACAATTAAGATAAAGAAAAGAGCTATATGAAATATATATGAAGAGATTTTTTATGTAGGATTGCTAAAAACATCAGTCGTTCTTCTATTATATAGCTTTTATATTATTAAACTGAAAGAAAAGAAACGCACGCATAAACTCTGAACAATCTGATAAACTGTAATTAGATATATTTTTATATTTACAATGCACTCTGCTATCGTTACAGGTGAAACTAGAGGAACGCTGCAAAATGGAAATGGAGTCACACAAGCAATTATTGGATAAGGAGTATGAAACACTTTTGCAACAGTTCAGTAAAGAGCTCGAGAAACTGCAGTTAAGACATATGCAAGAACTGGAGCGTAAGCTGAAACAAAATCAAAATGCAGAAAAGAAACTACACAAGGAAATAACAAGTAGACAGGAGGCTGATCGCAAAGCTCTGGAAGCTCAACAGAAAAGAGAGTACAAAGTAAGATGCTTGATTATTTAATTGTAATGGAACAATAACAAACGTTGAGACCGATAGAAACATTTTTAGTGCATCTCATTAATATTTCTGAACGTTATTTAATTTTATCTATTTAGGCTTACAAAGAAAGATGGAAAAAGGAGCTCTCTCAGGACGATGTAACAAAGAGGCAACGAGACGCCACTCTTCAAAGTCAAAAAGACAATTTAAGGCAGATGGAAGCGCAAGAGGAACAGCGACTTGCGAGAGGACAACGAGAATACTTGGATCTTGAAATACGTAAATTCCGTAGAAAAAAGTTACTCATCTTCCATAGTCTCGAGCAGGAGCTTCTTCGCGAAGTTAGTATTATTATCGATACATCGAAGTATTATCACAGTATCAATTACAAAACTGAATATGGCAATAATTATTTTCCATCGACGTCGTTTTTGTTATGTGATGATATTGAATATTTTAAGAATACGAAATTTATATTGTGAAAATAGGAGTTAAATAAGCGACAACAGCAGTTAGAGCAGGCGCACGCTATGCTCTTACGGCACCATGAAAAGACGCAAGAATTAGAATACAGACAACAACGGGCAGTGCACACTCTCCGCGAGGATCAAGTTCATCGACAGCATGCAACGGAACTTTGTAATCAGCAAGATTACATGCAAAGGGCCGAACGTGATCTGCGTAAGAAACACGCATTAGAGCTTAAACAGCAACCGAAGAGTCTCAAAGTAAATAACACAATTGAAAAGTTAATGTAGCTAGGTTTATGTTGACGTTTGTGTGAAACGTGTCTGAAAAGAAAAAAACGCAGTTATAGCTGTCCCAGAATCATTAGATGTTTGTTTTGTTATAGACTTTTAGGCCGATCTCGCATATTTCTTTATTTTCAATTATTCTCAAATATCGTATATCGAATATATACTTATAAGATTTTGTTTAATGATCAAGAATTATTGCAAGCTAAATTTTAAAAAAGATAGATAATAGATAAAATAAACATAATTAAAAATATATCTCTTAATCACTTGGGACAACCTATATTCGCAACAGTTAACAAAGAATATCTGACTATTAATTATGCACGAATTAAGAGAAATGACATTTTTTGTATGTTATTGTATTAATAAGTAATTTTTATATTTTTAGCAAAAAGAAATGCAAATTCGTAAGCAGTTTAGAGAAACATGTAAGATACAAACGCGACAATATAAGGCATTAAAATCTCAAATCCTCCAGACAACCGCTAAGGAAGAGCAAAAAGCGGTCATTAAGAAGTTAAAGGAGGAGCAAAGACGCAAATTGGCGCTTTTAGGCGATCAGTATGAACAGAGTATTGCCGAAATGCTCCAAAAACAGAGTATACGTCTAGATGAGTCACAAGAAGTAGAATGCCATAATTTAAAGGTTTAATATAATTTATTGTATTGTTATATAATGTCAATCTTTAACTTCTACTTTAACTATTCACTTATATTCAACATTTTAATAATAGTTACAATAATCTCGATGATAACTTCAAGTTGAATCAACTTCTTTTACAGGAAAGGTTAAACTACGAATTAGAAATTCTGATGGCATACCAATCAAAAAATAAGATGCAGGCCGAGGCGCAAAGAAATAGGGAACGCCGTGAGTTGGAAGATCGCGTATCTGTTAGACGAGCTTTGCTTGAACAAAAGATGGAATTAGAAACTCAGGAATTCCTTCGTGAACGTAGTGAACGTATACGCTTGTTGCACGAAAGGCAGGAACGTGAACTGCAGCAATTTGATGAGGAAAGTGCAAGAATAGGATTCAGGTACGTAATCTTATATTGTACATGAATCCTTGTTCTGTGTGATATTTGGCCGTAAAAAATTGCGAAGAATAAAAGGAAACAAAGATTTTCTCATCTTCTATGTTTATCTCGAATTTTATTCTCTGAATAGAAAGATAAAGATACTCGATAAAACGTCTTATTGTTTACAATATTTTTCACGTTATTGCAGTGCTCTGGCGATAGCTGAGGCATCAAAAGAATCTTATCCAGACGATGAAAGCCTTAGCGGCTCCATGTTAAGTCTGGCTCACAGTAATAGCTCCACATCCTTCCCCCCTAATAGTCTATAATTTTAATCATATTAATAGAGTATATATATATTATATATATTATATATATACACGTATAAGTATAAATATAAATAAGTAAATATACATGCGTGTATATATTTATTTATGTTTATATTTATATGTATGTATGTATGTCTGCCTGTAGTAAGTACATGACGAGTCTGCCGACGTATAATATAATTCTACGACTTACATAAATATATAATAACAAGGGTTGGCTCGTTGCGTGCATTGACCCCGAACCTGAGAGGTTTGTTGAGGTTGGGAATGTGTATTGGACTGAAATTACCTTAATCGCATATTTTTTAATCATCAAGATATATCAATATAATTTACCAGAAAAGAAAAGTGAGAGCTTCATATTGAAGAAGAATCTAGATGCTTTTTGCAACGTTGTAATATTTATTAATCTTAACCAAATATCTTGAGACGCGTATAGATATAAATAAAAGTCTTTAAAACATTAATCTCGCGTTTAATATTCAGTAGTATTCTAAAAGTTGATATTTATATATATACACACATACATGTGTGTGTATGTATGTACTTGTATGCCAGAAAGCATCAACGTAGCAAGTAAAAAATTTTATACATGGCTGCAACAAAAAAAAAATTGAAAAACTTTGGAAACATTTATTTATTAATAATAACTATACCGCAAATATGACAAAAATAACAGTACAATAATTCTGATGCTCGAATTAATATACTTTATTATACTTCTTTCTTACTTTTCATTCTTTTTTATTTATTTTTCTCTTATTTATTTTTTGGCCTATAATTTGAAATAAAAAACTTTAAATAGTTTTTCTTAGGTGGTGTTTCGACTTTTACATTAGTATTATATTTATAACGGATATTTCAAAATTCTTCAGATTATAAACATCGAGCAATATCAATTTCTTATATATATTTCAAGGTTTTAATTATATTTAATTTATTTAATTTGATATATATATATATATATATATATATATATATATATATATATATATATATATATATATATATATATATACACACACATAACAAAAGTGGATAGAATTTACGAAGTAATATTTTCTGTGTCTCTCTAAATGATTTAGTAAAACTTGATCTTTTATAATTATACATAAATCTCGGTGATTAGTATGTATTTTTTTCGAAAGAAGAATTCAGAATATGATAAATTTGATGCTGTATATTTTTTGTTTTATATCAATATCAAATTTAATTGATAATAAAATTGTTGAATTATAAACGATTAGTAATCTTCAATTCCTGTCAACTTTGCTGCTAACAATGAAAGATTCTTTATTGTTGGTTGTATCTTAAATATCCTAAATAGAGTAGTTGTTACATAAAGAGTAAATGTAAAAATTATTTATAATATAATAATTTATCTATTTTAAATTTTGTCTCAAAAGATTTAAAGTATTCCTTTTTCTATTATTTACTAATAAAAGATTATGATTATATTATTACTCCAAATATTTTCTGTGTCATTACTAAGTGAATTTATTTTGAATTATAGTTTATACCTATTGTTTAATATATAATACTTTCTCACTTAATATAACGTTAAATCAATTTAAGAATATTTCTTTATGTTAAACATAAAATATATAATTGACGAAAGAGGATAATCGCAGATATTAACCGTGATGCAAAACAACTTAATTTTAAGACTAATTGATATTATCTTAACCAAACACTACATTTTTATACCGATAAAATAATCGTAATAATTTATCTTTACTTGACATACACTTATGCGAAACTATATAATATTCAATATTTCTCTAGTTTTGTTTCGATTGATGATTATTTCTATTTCACGAAAACTGAGTAAACGTTGAAAGAACGGTGATCCTTCCGTCTTTGCTCGCAAACGTTCGAAGTGCTTGAATCTGATTCTTTGTATATTTGTATTACCAATATTTATATTGTATTATACAGTCTACGACTATACTTTTAAAATTTCATCCAGTACACATCCCAATGTTGTACTTTTACATCAAAATACATGTTTCGTTCTTTTTTTTTCATTTATTATCCTTTCATGTATTTTTGTTTCATATATCGCTAAACCCACTTAATATTAAATATAAAATTTAAATCTAAATGATTGTGACTGTTGTTCCTTTCGATGATGTTCGTTTCGTTACAATGTTTTGAGTACACTTCTTTCTCTAAAAAAATAACAACGAGAACAAGTATCGTTTCGTGTTAAAGAGTCAAGAATTTTGTATTAAGAAAGTGTATTTCTATTAATCGTAACACTCTTTAAGGAGGTGCTATTACTATATAATTAATATTTAGCAATGCGTATGGTCCACTTACGTTTGGATTATGAAATGTCAGTAAGTTTTATGTATAAAGCATTTTATTGTTATTTCGTAAAGAGGAAATGTAAATTTATTATTCAACGATAATTGAATTTTTTTCTAATATATTGAAAGAGCACAGAGAGAGTAAGAGACATGTCACCATGAAATACATGTAAGCGACGGACGAGAAAGTGTCAATCAATGCTAATCAAATGTTTATATTATATTAATTAATGCATATTATATAAAAAGAATAATGTTTTATAATTTTATTTTACGCTTATACATTGAGATTCTTCATAAATTAAAAAAAGAAGGAAATGTGTTTGTCTAGATTTAAGAGATAAAAATGGTTGAACAAAATGATGAAACAAAGAGGCATGGCCAAGGATGTTGCATTTTATTTCGTAAAAGTCCGTAGACTTTTTTCCATATATAATACACGTTTAAACAAGAAAAAAAAGATAAATAAATAGGAAATGTGCGAAAGAGCGCTTTAAACAACATTCACACATAGTTTACATTATCATTATCAATTGCAATACAGCACACATTCCAATTCTCATTAATATACGTATACACACGTACGAAATTCTCTTTGTGTAAGTGAAAATCTGACGCGCGGAAACGAGAATTATCGAATGACCAGTTTGCATCGAACGAATATCTAAAAGTGTGTTCAATTATTAGTGGTACGAGCGATTGTAGTGAAACACAAATAAGACAATTGTCATGGTTATATGTTCCAAACTGTATAACACCGGAAAACCGTCACAATCAACCGAAACGTTTCTCCTTTATAACTATGTAACGTGTAAATATAGACACATGATATACATAGCAATCGAAATGCAGCAATTTATTATGGAAAAGACAGTGAAATGGCATCCACGTGTATGAAGATACAAATTCTTCCTTAGGTTGTTCTAGTAGACAGAAAGAGGGATGTCTGAAAATCAATTGCTATTATCGATTTTCCAAGGATTACAGACTAACAGAGATTGTTCGTGCTAACAAACCAGATTACAAAATCACATATGAGATGTATGGTTCGGGAGAAAGCTGTTGGATTAATTTAATACGTTATACAGTAGGTCTTTCTCTTACGATAAGTAACTAATTGAATATAATCGCAGTTATTAAAGTTCTAGACTTCAAATTTATCTTCTCGTCGGGAAGGTTCTATATAAGAAAAAAAAAAAAAAGAAAGATTGTTAAGTTTTATATGCACTTTTAATTATAGCACGAGTTGTCTCTGAGTTAAGTTGTATGTATGTAACAAAAAAGAAAAAAAAGAAGAAAGAAAGCACGAAGTAATTCTTCATCATAGTCTGTGTAATCGGTATAACTCTCTAAATACCCAATTTAGGAAGTTGATTGTCGATGTTGCTAGCGTTTTGTAAATATTTATTCGCTTTACATAGAACTGCGACTATGGGACTTTTTATTATAACATTTACTATTTAGTCACACACTGAAAGATTTATAAAAATTTTCCAAAAAAACGTGGCAAATTCTATTAGTTGAATTTGGAATGTGATAACTGATAAGCTAAACAATTAATCATAGGCATAGCATATCAAATACCGTATTATCGAATTATGCTTGTGATTATTTGACAAGCTCACTTCTTCACTTACTTCCATTTAAGGTGTGATTTCGTAACATTGATTAATGGTTTGTATTACAGATTACGATTCACTGTCGTTAGATGAAAACGCAATATACTTGAGGTTACTGTAATGATTCCAGTACAATTTGTGTAATTGTGTCTTCTTTACGCTATTGGCCGATTACAAGAGAATTGTTTTTGTACACGTCAGAATATTGAAGTAAATGTAACTATATATACTTCTCAATACAATCTCTGGCTTTAATTAGATAAATTGTTATTTTTATTTTTAACAGCCTTGTAGTCTTCTTTTTTTTTATTTTACAGTAAAGCAGAAATACGCAGAGTGACACGAGTAGTGTAATTATCTTTTTTCACACACAGAATGAATACCATTTGGTATTGTAGAAAGTAGAAAATATTACAGATCAATCGTCGTGCGCGCACACACACACATAACAAAAATATTCAAAATGCTATTGAAACTCCTTGTAAAACAGAATCACACACACTTTTCCTCCTACATATATTTTATATAAGGTAGAAAATTGATATCTTTTTGAAAGATATTCAAATAAGAGTCCAATTCAACTCACGTCATTTTTTATTTGAAAGTAATATAATTTCATAAGAAAACATACTTTTCTCATCAAATATTTATAACCGGAATTATCCGAGGTTGTATGCAAATGCTACGCATGTAACTTATTAAACATGTGTTATCTTTATGTCTTATTGCATTTCATTGGCAATTAGGAATAGAATCATTTGTTTTTTCTATATGTAGTTGAGCTATACACCTTTTTGTTAGGTCTGTAATTGAAGAGAATAATTTTATTAAGAATTTTCGATAACACAATACTGAAGTGTTTTGAATTTAATGCAATTGTCTGAATGGATGTGCTAACATTTATAGTCAATATGTGCTCACACAACTCATTAGTAGCACGAGATAGAATAATATAATAAATATAAATATATTCCTTATAATTATTTTACTATTATCATTATACCCATACAAAAATACAGCATAAAATGTAAAATTTTATTATACGATAGATATCAATATTCTTTTGGTAAATAACTGATTATGAAATGCAATGTACGTAATGCGAATAATCAAGGGTCATAACCATTCTTGATAGAATCATTACGAGAATATAATACAGTTTTATTTTTAAATTTAAGTAACGTATGAAAACATTTTGTAACTAAATCGACGACTAAAACGACAAACTGTATGTAAGATGCTACTTGCATCATAAATTAAGGCTTAAAATAAACAGTCGAGGCTGTTTAATCCAATACATTGGTAAGATAATAAAGACGAAAAATGTTGAAGTGTGAACTAATTTTGATGTAGTTTGCCGATCCTTCTCAACGATGCGCAGAGATCGGTTTTCACAATCTGTATCTATATATTATTGTTTCAAAATAATCGAATCCCTTTTTCACACACATTACAAATCCTTTGATCAATTTGGAATTGATAAAAATTACGAGTAAAATCAAAATGTTCTAATTGTATTTTGTCCTTGTGAAATATTCTCGAGTTAGGCAACAGATTTGGAAAAGGAAAAAAAAGATGTAAAGGTATAAAGATCATTTGTTTATATTCTTCTATACACGCATATGTATGTATACATGTGTATCTATACATATACTATATGTACATAGAATATATATAAGATACATATGTATAAAATTTTATATACATAATATATAAATGTGCTTTTTAACTGACATTACGAAAATATGACGTATATGCATATGAGCGTATTTTTATATATGTATATATACATATATAAAACGCTCCTGTTGCAAATTCTAACAGTAACAAATTACACTTTCTGCCAGTTGTAATACAACAAAAATTTGTAGTTTTCTTCAAGTTGCGCGTATAGTTGACATAGTTATTACATCTACAGTGTATACATGTAACAAATGTTTTTTACAATATTACAATCAATATATGTATATAAGAAATGATCGGTAATATACAAATGCATTTACGCGTTCGCGTACATCTTGCGTAAAACTTTATTGCGTAGGTGAAAACGTGGTCGGATTTAATATGCGACAATGCATTTCTCTTATCAAAGGTACTGTATAAGCGACACATTCGTCCCAACCAGGTGATCGCCAAGCGCTTTCGCGCGTTTCTTTGCGCGATTGAAGATTTTTGTAACCTAAAAGTAAAAATTTGATGTCACAGACTGCATGCTTTCTCCAACAAAAAATGGTCATACATCTATCTTATTAATCATTCTGTCTCCCATTTTGCTACAGGATGTTCAAACATTTTGCAATAAATCTTTTTCTCGATAAAAAATATAAAAGTACTTATAGTTATTAAACAATCATTGAGAGGTGATTAAAATTTATGGTAATACATATGAAAGTCAATGATATACATAAAGAAATAACAATATAAACAATCAAGAGTGTTCCACTTACACCAAATATGATGAACATTGTACAATCTACCAATTTGTGAAAAATAACCGGCAAAAGGCTCGTCATTGTTGCGTCTGTAATTGATAGCTTTGGCCCAATTGTTTCCCCATTCTATCATTGTGCCTGGTTTCAAGCTGTAACTGCGTATCTCATACTTATTTGAATCTGTACGCTTGACTAGTGGTGGCCAGTAACTGAACGCCAACAGATATTGTAAATGACGTGATCTTAAATAATTCCCTCTTTCCCTGAGCAGTCGTTTATAAGCCTGTAAAAAAACGAATATTTATTTGCCATGCATTTCTGATATCTATATTGTATAACTAAGTAAGATAATTTGTACCTCATCTTTTGAAAGTTCAGCCTGTGCGTGATCTATGCTTTCATAGCCACCTGTATATTGCCACAAATGTAAAGCTTGATCCAAGTCTCCAACTTCGACTGTCCATGAACCAACCAACTCACAATTCAAATCAGATTTTTTGGAGTGTATAAGATTAACATTTTCCTCACTGTAATTATCCAAGAAAAGAAAAAATAATATTACACAAGGTAAATCTATTTCATTCTCTATCTCTCTTTTAATATCTTTATTTTAACACTTAATACTGATGAACAAAGTATAACATTCAGAGAAATGATGCAAAGTAAAACTGGTAAATGTCCCGTGTTTGATAACCTCTATGGATTTATTCTTATATTAATTATAGGAGTGATACAATCCAATTTCAGAACCATACAATAATATTAACATATACCAATCAGGAGAATACTGTATGTATGGTTTCAGTAAGTGTTATCTTAACTTAGATTTATTTTTGCAGGATTATAAATCTGTAGAGGTTATGGAACAAAAAATATCCAAAAATTGTCAATAAGTATCGTATTTCTGCTAATAACTTTGGTTTCTTAACGTTTTACACAGCAGAACACCAAAGCCATTTACGTTTGTAAATTCATAAGTGAATTGAAAAAAAAACCGCGTCATAACATCATTGTTTTGTCTAACATATTGAATTACGCACTAATACGATGACAAAGCGCAAATAAATTTAGAAACCTCGTACGTAATTAAAAACGCACAAATCTCGGGTCAGGTTCGCGCGAGTGAGCAAACCGTCGCACGAAAGACAAAACGTCGACTCACTAGTTGGTCAGATATTTGTCGATCGAGTCCGGTCGAATGTTGTGAGTGTGCAGCGCGTAAATGACCTCCTTGTCGGAGAGCATCCGCGAATGCGACTCTTTCGTGGGCTCGATTTTCCTCACCAGGAGTTTACTGATCCATCCCTCGCTGATGTCCCCGCGTACCGATGACCTTGTCAGGGACCTGCGAATACGAATACAATCTGAATGTGTGCACGACTGAAATGTCGGTTAGCGACATTTTAACGCTAAAGAAATCACGACAAATCGCCCCGTGCGACTCGGCTCGCGTACCGCGCAGCGACGAGCAACGGCGTATTGCCGTTGCCGGTGAGTGCGCCCGATACGACACGGAGTTTTCTCCTAAGAACGGCAGCCATCTCCTCCTCTACTATCTGATCCCCGTGCGTGGATCTCTACTGCCACCGTCGTCGTCCGCGATCCCGATCGAGCCTCTCGTGATCCAGCCTCGTGAGCCCCGCTGCGACCTGCGACCGCGATGGACACGCGGCGCTTCCGACGAGATTCCGCGCGGAAACTGCGAGCGTGTAGCCCGCGCGTTTATTTCGACTCGTAATCTCCATCCACCCGCGGACTTTTTCCCTTCCGCGAGGAAAGGCGGGACACAGGCGGGCCATCGAAATGTTGTCATCTAATAAACGTTCGTCGACCAACATCCGGCGATACGTGGAACGGCTGCCGCGAGAACGCAGGCGCCCGTGTGCGGTGCACTTCGTGTTTTCCAATCCGGTCGTGAGACTGCATGAATAGCTTTTCAATCGAGATGACCCCGTTTCGCTGTCGGTCATCTTCTTATCCCATCCTGTCGTACTCATCTGAAACGATCGTAAGTTCGTTTCAAGTTTAATGTATGTTTCTACCAACATTGGTTAAGTTTTAACCTGAATTTAGGTCTAATGGTTCTTATTTCGAATTCTCCTTTATTGACAAATGTCCTTAAAGTGGCTTGTAAGTACAAGACACTTTTATCAATAAAAAATATATAGAATAAAAGTCTACTCAAATAGCACAGAGAGTTCAAAAAGAATTCAGTCATATGTCACCAATTCTGAGTTTATTTTTAGATGCAAAAAGAATCCTTTTCACTGAACTGAACTCTGAAAAATTCTTTTGCATCTGAAAATAAACTTAAAATTGATAACATATGACTGAATATTTTTTGAATTCTCTGTGCTATTTAAGTATGTATATCTTATTCTGAGTTTTCTCTTATCAATAAGTGTCTCTAAATGTGGTTTGTAAGCTTCTGTGATTGGCTTATGTCCAATTTCTTCACCTCCGGTTAACTTTATCTGCCAATTATTCTATTGGAATTGACCAGTCATATTTATGGTTGGCAAGATTAACCACAGTTGACATTTAAACAGATAAAGTCCGACAGATAAAGTTAACTGGAGGTGAAGAAATTGGGCATTATAAACATATTTGCACACACACACATACACACACACACATGTATTTTTATTAATAAAGACCCCTTCTTGACAATGTAGCTGAAGTAGAATAAATATATATTAATAAAGAAAATTTAAAGAATAACCCTTATAGAAATATTATACTAAGAATCATTGATAATTACTTATTATCCAGTATTTTTAATACTGAAAATAAGTAATTATCAATGATTCTTAGTATGATATTTCTATAAGGGAAGGGCTTATGTATGTATATATTTTATGAGCTCTTTCTTTCAATGATAAAAGTGTCTTTAAATGTGTTTTATAAATCTCTGGTTAACTTAAGTATTAAGTATTAAGATTATAAGTACATTTAAAAGCATTTTTATCGATAGAACTCAAAATAAGTATCTTTGTCTGAATAGCATTTAAATTTAAAATTTACGTTGGTAGAAACGGTCATCCTTTCCGTGCAAGTGAAGGTAATTCCGAGGCGCAATTGGCTCTCATACTATGAAAGAGATCATTGCCGTTTATTTCGATGTATGACAGATTTCAATTAAGAATCTCGGTCGTCTGAAAATACCAAATGTCTCAGTTAGAAATACGCAAGAAATAGCTTGGCGTAGCTCCTAAAAATCTATCGAAGTTACAAATCTTTTTAGGATTAATGAAAATCTATCGAAATTGTAACAGAGAAGAAAGTTATCTAATTGTACTATTTATTTATTGTTATATTATTTCGCTACATAAGATATTTAATGATAAACAAAAGTGATTGCAAGAACACTTACAGAAACTGATGTACGCGACGATGTATTGAAACAATGCTCACGTTTTTTTGAAATCGTGTTTACCCCACGATAGATCTCAAAGATGTCGCGCAAGCTGCGTTTCCGTTGTGCGCCGGCGGAAGTGACGGCGTGACGGCAGCCAAGTTCCTTTTAGGTTGGTTTCACGAGAACACGTTGCTGCAGAAGTGAGTATGCGATATTATTTAGTTTTATATATCGTAAGTAATTCCTCAATTATACTCGACGTTGATTCTCACCGGTATTCAATGCCTGTATTTATTCACTTGCTCCATATGAGAACTCGAGCGACGTTTAAACAAAAATAACGTGAAAAACAATCGCAACGCGGTGAAGTTGCCGATGCATATGCGCCCACGCGATTCTGCGTTGTTAATATTGAAATTTCTCGATCTCTAACGTCCGTCCCTCGTCGTCGTGATAAATCCACAGTACTGATAACTCCATGGCAATTTAGGTAAACCACCATGCAGATTTTCGTGAAGACCCTCACGGGCAAGACGATCACCCTCGAGGTGGAAGCGTCGGACACGATCGAAAATGTCAAAGCCAAGATCCAGGATAAGGAGGGCATTCCACCGGATCAGCAGCGACTGATCTTCGCCGGCAAACAACTGGAGGATGGACGGACGCTGTCCGATTATAACATTCAGAAAGGTGCGGATGTGTTAATTATTTGGCCTAACCTCGTTGCCTCGTGTATGGACACGTAAATCTCAAGAATAACTTTTCAATCTAATTCATAGTTCTATAAGTAACTAAGTTCTAATTCTATAAGTAACAAATGTCCCACTAGTGGAATAATTTTCCAATATGATTGAAACATTAATAATATATTTGTATTTAATATTCCTAAAAATTCTTTTGGAACCATCATAAATATTTGGAAATATTTCTTTACGCTAATATTTTTAATGAGCATTCAATTATTGAATCTGTATTTTTTTATAATTAGGATACTCATTTTTCAATATTACTATCTTCTAGTATAACCTGCATTATCTAATATCCCATTAAAATTAATAATTTGTATTTACTAGTTATATATTTCCTATTATTTTTTTATTACTGACATCAAAGTTTTATGTAAACATTACTTTTGTTATTAATTCCATTGATTATTTATTAATAATACTGATCATACTTTCTTATTAGTTTAGTCATTAGGACATTTATTTTATATGTGACTTATAATTTTGTCCAAACTTCTAAAAATTATTCTTGTCCTATTGTCATAAATTTTGACTAAAATACTTCAAGTGATGTTAAACATATAATGTTGATATTAAATAATATTATATATCACTGTTATAGTAGTATCATAGATACTTTCTAAATGAGTCTACATGTTATGATTATATATACGTATTAAAATCAAAGCTGAAGGATATAATTTTTTAATATGTATATGTATATAGAAATAATACATATATAAGCGGGATAAGAGCCTTGCATTTTCTCTTGTATCTAAATCTAAAAAAAACTTGTTTCAAATCCAACATAAATTATTCTAATTTTAATATATATTATCAAACATTATTAAATATTGCCAGAAGGATATTTTTCACAAGATTTATGAATAAATTCAACTATAATAAAATTAAACAAAAAGATTTCACGTAAATAATAAATGAATTCATTTATTAAATCTTTGCCTTACTAAATCGATAATATAAATAGAGTCTATAATATATGAGAAATAATGAAAGAATACTAAAAATATTAGCAAAATCCCTACGCAAAGAGAGAAAAGGTAGAATATCCTTCTCTGGCAATAAATTTTTCATAAAATTTATAAATTTGTTTTTTACAGAATCCACTCTCCATCTTGTGTTGCGTTTACGAGGAGGTGTAATTGAGCCAACTCTACGTATACTTGCGCAAAAGTACAACTGCGACAAGATGATCTGCCGCAAATGTTACGCGCGTCTTCATCCTCGCGCAACGAATTGCCGCAAGAAGAAGTGTGGCCACACGAATAACATTCGTCCAAAGAAGAAGCTGAAGTAGACTGTCAGCATCGAAATACATATTTCTTTACAAATTTGGGCAACATGGAAATATGTATTTGGTATTTCAATAAATTAAGCAACTAAGATATTGAATGCTTTATTTCTTTCATACACCTATAATAAAATATACAAATATATATATATATATATATATATATATATATATATACGTACACAATAATTATTTCCATTTATAAAACAGCTTTGACATAATGCTGATTAATTTTTATCCGGAACATACTCGTTCCATGAATAGTTTGTGCTGACTAGTATAAGTCTCATATAAATTCATATCATTTGGATTTGGTACAGAGCCACCTTTCTGTAAAAGCATTTATGCTCAATTAGAGGTAAAACTATCTACATTATGTTACATATATATATACACACTGGATTTCAAAACGATTTGAACATTTCTTGATGTAAGATTTGGAATGCATCCAATGGTTTAAATGAGAAAATTTGTTTATGATTAAAGATGTGTTGCTTATATTTCAAAAATAATGAAAAAATTAATTTGCATTGCATATTTCCAGTAAATGCAGATATTATATAGACAATATATCCTTAAATCTCGAGAAATAAAGAGTTTTTTCATTAGACTATCGGTTGCATTCTAAATCGTATTGAACAAAAAAGTGTTCGAGCAGTTTTAAAATTCTATGTATATCATATTTACTTACCGTAGCTCTTTTCACGTATTGTTCATATATGCTGATGTTTGCATCTTTAACGTTGGGTATTGCAATAATAGGAGTCATAGATTCGGGAAAGGATGTTTGTTGGATCAATTTCGAACGCAGTTTAGTATGATCCGTGGAATGCGTTGCATTGCGTCCTATTAAAACAAATCTGAACAGAAATGAGACATTTATTAAGATGCGTGCAAAGTTCGCAGTTATAGAAATATTAATATCGCTCACCTCTTATAAAGAATAATATCGTTTCGCTTTGGATATTCCGGTTGTGTGCCGTATACTTCCTTCATAGAAGGGAACAAAGATTCAAAGGACATTAGTTCCGAGTTGTCCTTAGAAGCTATCAGTTGGGAATCGTCCAACTGTTGATGGCTTTCATCTTCATCCGAGCTCGAATCCTCGCTTGAGCTACGACGTAATTCATATTAATGTTAAATATTGTTATTAGGTGTAAAATATCGAGTTTTCTAAACCAATAAGCTATATCTACTATTTAAATTACTTGTAGAACATACGAGATATTAAATGACTACGTATATATACTTACCTCGCGCTGGAAGTTGTGCTACTCGTACTGCTTTGGCCGGTCATCGATGGATTTTTCATATTCAAGTTTTTACTACCTGCTTCTTCTCTCCGCCTACCTGGTCGCACGCGGACGGCAAATGGACTGTAGCAAGTGGTGAAATGCGGCATAAAATCTCGGACCGAGTGACTTATTTTATATGCGTATACTTCAGACAGCAAAGACAATTCATATGGCCTAAAAATATAGTTTAAATGTTAAGCAACATATATAATATCTATATAAAAAATTATAAGCAATTTCTTACAAAATATAATAAATATAATTACTTATACTTCTATATACTATACTAAATATTATATCCTATACTAAAAAATATATTTCCTATAAAATGTAATAAAAAAAAAAAAA